AAGTTGCTAATGCTAACCGTTAGCTTCCATTCGCAGAGACTCTTTCCTGGTTGTTAAATCAACAACAGCCTACCCCGTCACAAGCCAAGTCGGGTAAATCCATGTATGCTAATTTTTATTGTGATGTAGATCTGAGTGGCTAGATAGGCGGCTAATGCAGGAATTAGAGGTAGAAGACTATTTCCACATTCAGACTTCACAGAAAACTCATGACTGTATTTAAAAAAATAAGTAAAAAATAGTTTCCCAGTGAACTGGCCTTTACGTCTTTTCTACTCAAGAATACAAAACATGCAATAGATTAGATTAGATTAGATTACTTATGAAAATAACCTCATGTTTTAGCACAAGTAAAACAGCTTTTTTTAAAATAGCTTTTAACTTCTTGACACCCTGTGGACATCGACTTTCTGCACTGTAATATTGGGTTCTACACAAACAAGTGATTAATGACCCGTACTTGTATAGCGCCTCTCAGAGTAAGGACTCCAAAGCGCTTTACACTACAGTGTATCATTCATCCATTCACACACTGATGGTGATGAGCTACGATGTAGCCACAGCTGCCCTGGGGCGCACTGACAGAGGCGAGGCTGCCGAGCACAGGTGCCACCGGCCCCTCCAACCACCACCAGCAGGCAAGGTGGGTTAAGTGTCTTGCCCAAGGACACAACAGCAGAATTCTCTGTCCGGAGCGGGATCGAACCTACAACCTTCTGATTACTGGACAACCCATTCAACCTGTTGAGCTACTGCCGCCCATTGGTTTGTCAAATGTCCCTTTAATTTAGAAACTTTGTATTTATCTAATTTTAAAAATGTTGCTATTATTGTCTGTTCAAAAACAGTGTTTGTTTAATGTTTTTGATGTCCTGCTAAAGGGGAAATAGGCAGGCTTGCTTTTAGCACCCCCTAGTGTCCATTTGTAGAACCAAAAGCAAAACTTGTCTCCTCGCTGTACCTTAATCTAACAGCTGAAACGTCTCCTCAGCCTTCCTCAGTGTCTACCGGAGTGATTCATCACTAAATTAAACAAATCAACTGTGTTCATCATCTAAAACATGCAGAAAAAGTGCTGTAGGCAGACTGCAGCACCAGGTATGTCTGCTCTATTTCATTTTAAGTTCAACAGAGCACACCGTCAACTCAGAAGCTGCGAGTGGAATATTCTGGCCACAAGATGCGATAGGGGCTGGCTGGCCTTTCATCATTCCTGTAAGGGCCAGTTTAGCACATACTGGTTCAAGAAAGTTATTTGAAATATGAAAAAGTTGCAAAGTATCCCTTCAAACATGTTTGAAAATGATACAACAGCAGAATCAAATATTTACTGCCTAAACCCTCCAAACAGGTAATGAAGCTCTTGAGTCTGTAATCAAGGAGGTCAAAATGACAGACCAGGAGCATCAGACCAACGGAGACTAACAGAGAGTGCCACGTGTAAAGAGCAGGGGAAAGGACTGAGGCACAACAACACCGAGGCCACATGTACAAACAGCAGTGGATTCAGTTACTGTGTGTTTATGAGCACCCACGTCCAGAAGAAGGCTCCAGATCACATCTCTGCACAACTCAACTCAAAAACAAAAACTTTGTTTAACTTGGTGCTCACTGAAGTGATTAGAGCACAAATGAAACATCTGTCATGTTGCCTGTCACCAGGAGCTAAATCACCTCAAAGTTAACCTCAAGTCAGAGGCATTCAAGCCAGAAACGTCAGGAACAACAACAGTCTTCTTCAGCCTTCATGTAACTTTATCCTATCCAGACGAAGAGAGGGGCTCTCGTGAGGGTGAGGTCAAAGTTCAAAGGTAAACTTGCACATTGTGGTATTTTTAGGCACGGTGTTCCCTGAAATTGCCCTGTTTATACCAAAATTACAGCATGCGTCTAAGCTAGATGTTTCACCCTGCTGCTTTTCTGTTGCCAGAAGCATCGATTTAAAACCCTTCCAATTAGAAAACGTCAGTGTTGAGTTACAGCTGAGTTAAGTAATCACAGCTGTCTCTGGTGCAGCTTTCTGAGCGTGGTGTAAAATTACAGCCCAGGCTGTGTGTGATTAGGGTTCATATGAGAGGATGTCAGTCAGCCACCAGGCCTTGGAGGGAAGGGAGACACTTATTTCATCCATTTGTCTTTCATAAGTCAGAGTCTCTCTTTACCATTCTGATTTGGCAAATAAGAAAGAAAATTTGACACGGTGAAGATGTTTTCCTATTTCAACATCTGTGCTTGTGAGGAAACAACAAAGAGATTGCAGGGGATAACCCAAACCCACAACCAATTATACAGGCAATAATCTCCCATCTGTATCCCTGAGTCTGGATTTTATTGGCTTTAAAATTACTATCCTCAACCTCTTTTTGTCTACTTGTTCTGTCAATACTTAACAGTTATATATATATATATAGAGAGAGAGAGAGAGAGAGAGAGAGAGAGAGAGAGAGAGAGAGAGAGAGAGAGAGAGAGAGAGAGAGAGAGAGAGAGAGAGAGAGAGAAGGAGAGAGAGAGAGAGAGAGAGAGAGAGAGAGAGAGAGAGAGAGAGAGAGAGAGAGAGAGAGAGAGAGAGAGAGAGAGCTGTGAATGAATCACGATAATAGAATAGAATTTATTGATCCCACAGTGGGGAAATTCACTTGTTATAGCAGCACCAACACTTAAGGGAATAATTTGAAAAAGAAAAAATAACAACAAGGTAAACACATAGGCAGTAATGTAATATTGTAACCTTCGACCACTAAAAACCATGAGTAAAAAAGGAAAAAAACTTGGGTTCCATTCCAACACTATGCAGCATACTGCAAGAGACACGGACATACTATGTAAATCTGGTATTGAACGAGTATTGAACACATAATGAATATTGTTATTGTGTAAAGCGTAAAGCACTTTGGAGTCCTCTGACTCTGAAAGGTGGTATACAAGAGAAGGTCATTCATTAAAGTAAAAAACAGTTTAAACTGCCTTTAAATCTGATCTAATCAAGAAAATAAAACATGCATTAAATTAGATTTTGCATTTTCTGAGTATTTAAAACAGCATCATGTCTTGTGCACAAGTAAAACGGCTTTTTTAAAATAGCTTTTAACTTCCTGACACGCTGCACATGTGTACATCGACTTTCTGCACTTTAATGTTAGGTTTACGCTAAGAGACAGAAAACAAACATATTACATTTCCTCGGTTGAAAATCAGAATTGTGTGTGTGTGTGTGGGGGGGGGGGGGGTTGTAGTTGTTTATTTAAATGGGTTGTGTTGCCATACAAGGCAAATTAATTTAAATGAGACTTCTTTGATTCTATTTTTTTTTTATTACCTGAGCTTTTTCACTCAGTCAAGACGTTTTGTCAAGTGAGGCTAAAACATACGGGGTTACAAGCTTTTAAGCATGTGAGTTGGTATGTTTAGGTGCAAAAACTCGCATGCAGATCGCCCGCTCTTCTCTCTCCTGAGTGGGTGGAACAGGGCTTTGTTGATCTGAGCCACATGAGACACTGGTTGGAGATTTCAGAGCAACTTTGTAAGTATTGGGAAGTTGAAGCTTTAACCTGATCTGACGGCTCTCTCTCGAGTCATGTCCCCAGACTAAACTGGAAATGCTGAACTTTCTCTAATTCGATGGAGATTCTACCCAACCAAGACATATGAGTTCTACCATAATTCAATTCAATTCAAAAATACTTTATTAATCCCAGAGGGAAATTGATTAGTATAAGATAAGTATATAGATAAGTTTTTGCACATTTTTAGTTTTTGTAGCAGCTTTTGTTAAGTTCCCTCTGCCATGGAAAACAAAATTAAGTTCAGCCGTACTTTATGCAGAAAAAAAGGCATTTATAAGTTTTACTGAGCTACTTTCAATAAAATGAATCATATCTGGACGAGCCAAACCCTTCCACTAAAATTATTCCTCATCGGTTCCGTTTCTCTGCCTGCAGAGCTCATCTTCCTGCGGATGCATCATTACTTTAACTGGTTAAAAACTTTTCGGGACGTTTTCATTTAGATTTCCTGCTTTTTATAAATTAGTTTCCAAAAACATGTCCAGCTGATTCTATGAAGAAGAAGAAGAAGAAGAAGAAGAAGAAAAACACACTTTTTATGCATAAAAGCGCTGCATTGATAAGATCATCTATAGGGACCCACATGTCAACACCCAAGGGTCAGCTTCAGCATCCAGCAACAATATTCCCATTGATCAGGACCATCTCTCCTGAGTCTGCTGTTGACTATAAGGTAGTTGAGCAACACGGGTCAGATGTCAGATCTGTGAGCTCATGCATATCCTCAACTGTTCAGCAGCAGGACAGAAAGGAGTTCTCTGTGTGGACGTCTTTAATCCCACATACCACAGGAGGATCTCCGCATGCCAGCTCCATGTCACACCTACCTAACACCAAAAAACACAAAAGCTGGGCAAGCAGCACAAGAGCTGCAACTTCAGGTTAACATATGGAAGTTGTATAAATTTCTGACCTGTCACAATAAAGCTGCAGGAAAAAAAAGTGTACTTGATTCAACAAAGATCATTTTATTTGTTAGATTCACTTTTATGAATTAAAAAATGAGAAAAACTACATGATAGGACTGGCTCACTCTGGAAAAGATTCCATCACTCACATTCTTTCCTGGCACTCGGATCAACCTTGGGAGCAACAAAAAGGGACCAAAAGCAGAAACGGGGATAAATCACATCTGTGACAACCGCAGCAGAGTGAAACAGTATGCAGCAGCTTCTGTAGAGAACGAGAGCTGCAGCAGAGGAAGCTGGAGTCTGGATCTGGCACTGCATCGCTGTGCTCTGACCCAGCTTTCCTTCCACCACACAAACATCAGCTCTTCACGTCTCAAAAACAAAAGTTAGATTATTAAAGCCAGCAATTCTAAACTATAAGGAATAAGGAATTTTGACAGTTCTCATGGAGACTCGCAGGAAAGTTGGTGAAAGTTAAAAGCTTTTGTTGTGAAAGAGAACTAAACTCATGAAAAAGATGGCTTACTTTGAAGATGTCTCCTGGTCAGACCATTTGATCAAAAATGAGTAGATGATTATTCCAGGGGGGAGTCAAGGCGGCTGGATGTTACGATCCCTGCCCTCCTTTCTGTCCGTCAGCTTCACCAGGACTCACTCGGCTGATGTAAGTTGTCCCAGCACACTGGAAAAAGAGGAGTGGAGAAGGCAGAGAGGAAGGGGGGAGAAAGACGGAGGCATAAGGGGAAAAAATCTCCCCACATTCTTCTATGGATTCTTGGAAAAGGGCCAAAATCTCAGAATTCCACACATAAGGTTTCAATTGGGATTGAATCTGAACGTTCTGCACCTGGAAAGAGGCTTTCTTCGGTCTGTTGGAGGCTGAAGCAGATTTATTTAAATGTTGTTTTATGATAAAATATCTAAAATATCAATGTTGTTTATTTCATTAAGTGGACAGGTTCATGACAACACTGAAGCCTCCCTTAATTTAAATGAGGTGAGTGTTTAAAAGAACAAAATCTATAATCTGAAAATAAAATGAAAGTGAAAAAGCAACCAGTGTAAAAAAAATAAAACAAAAGAATTACAGCTAACCTGGAGAGCTAATTCTCTAAATCCTTTAGACTTTTTAAAAACCTTTTCACACCCAAATGAGAGGAAAACACCTCTGTGCTTCAGTTATGAACTGATCATTTCATCATCTTAATGCAAAACCACAATCTGAGAGGAAGCGCTTGGTTCTTCTGCATCTAAGGGATTTTTGGTAATTCTAAGTGTGTTTCTGTGTAATGGTTAGAATGTAATACCACCTTATACCCTTTAGAACGGGGATGGAACTGCGCTGCTCTGGGTGGCTGCATGTTGGAGTAGCTCTGTATATGTAAGTTTTGCCTTTTCTTGGACATTATTTTCTTCTGGTTTCTCGGGAGGAACAGTATTTTTTTTTTGGACATTTTACTTTTCTGTTTCTGGTGCTGTGAAGATTGGAGGATTTTTTTCTGCTATTTTTTCACTTTTTGAGCATTTGTTATGATGTATAACCATGGCAACAAGCTGGTTTACAATCGGGAGCAGCTGATTAACATTGGGAAGGATGAAATAATACCTCAACTGAAGCCACAAATCTCAAATGAGCTAAAACGCAAGAAGCGTGGGTGCAGAGCGGGAGCAAAATGGAGACAGAGAAAGAGGAAATTCAAACCATCTCTTCCATCGATCATAATGGGCAATGTGAGATCACTGGCCAACAAGATGGATGAACTCCAAGCCCTTTCAAGGACTCGGCCAGAGTATTGGCATTGTAGTGTTATGTGTTTCACTGAGACGTGGCTGAAGGACCTTATCCCCGATTCCAGCGTCTCTCTGCCAGGATTCCTGACTGTACAAGCAGACAGAGATCTGAAGAGGAGCGGGAAAAGAAACGGAGGTGGAGTGGCAGTGCTTGTCAAAAACAGATGGTGCCATCCAGGTCATGTTTCAGTGAAATGTCGTCTCTGCAGCCCAGATGTTGAACTCTTGGCAGTAAGTTGTCACCCATATTATTTGCCAAGAGAGTTCACCAGTGTTGTCTTGGCAACCGTTTATATTCCACCTTCAGCCATTGCCAAAAGTGCATGTGATGCCATCAGTTCCATTGTTGCTAAGCAAACCCAGTACCCCAATGCATTTGTGGCTATATATGGCGATTTTAATCATGCCTCGCTCTCTGCTACACTTCCAACATTTCAACAGTTTGTCAGCTGCTCCACCAGAGAAAACAAGACATTGGATTTGTGTTATGCAAATGTAAAGAATGCATACATGTCCAAAACAAGACCTCCTCTGGGACAATCAGATCACAATCTTGTTTTTCTCTGCTCAGAATACAAACCACTTGTTCAGAGGCAACCTGTGACAAGAAGAACTGTGAGAAAATGGTCACAGGATGCTGAAGAAGCCCTGCAGGGTTGTTTTGAGACCACAGATTGGATGACTCTCTGCCAAGGATATGAAGAGGGCATCAATGCATGACTGGATGTGTCACTAACTATATAAGCTTCTGTGTGGACAACAACATACCCACCAGAACAGTGAGATGCTTCGCTAATAGCAAACCCTGGATCACCAGTGAACTGAAAAATATGCTAAATGAGAAAAAAAGAGCCTTCAAGTCGGGAGACAGGAAATTATTGAGGATTGCACAGATGGCAGCCTGGACACAGACAATGAACTGAACAAGTTCTTCAATAGGTTCAGTTCAGGAACAAACCCAGCATCCTCCTCACCTGTCCCCAGCCAATCAGACATCCCATCCTCCTCTGATCCCACATTTTCCTGTCACACGCCAGCTCTTTTGTCCTCTAACGCAGTCATGGACTCTTCTGGTTCTATAAATCTGCCTTCAACCAAGTCAGGAGATGCTGCTGCCCCATTTACCTCCCCCTCCCACCTATCTGTCTCTAGAAGTCAGGTGAAGAGGCAGCTGGAGAGACTGAACAGGAACAAGGCTGCAGGTCCAGATGGTGTCAGCCCCAGAGTACTGAAGGCCTGTGCAGAGCAGCTCTGTGGGATTCTGCAGCACCTCTTCAACCTCAGCCTGGCCCAGGAGAAGGTTCCAGTCCTGTGGAAGACATCCTGCCTTGTTCCAGTTCCAAAGAAAACTCGCCCATCAGTCAATGATGACTACAGACCGGTTGCCCTGACATCCCACATCATGAAGGTCCTGAAGAGACTCCTGTTGGTCCACCTGAATAAGCAAACTAGGACATATCAGGATCCGCTGCAGTTTGCTTATCACCATGGAGTTGGAGTTGAAGATGCCATCATCCAGCTGCTTCAACCAACCCACTGTCATCTGGACAAAGCAGGCAGCACTGTCAGGGTCATGTTCTTTGATTTCTCCAGTGTGTTTAACACAATCCAGCCTGATGTACTTTGCCAGAAACTCCAGAAGACACAGGTGGGGGCCTCAACTATCGCCTGGATTAAAGACTACCTGACAAACAGACCATAGTTTGGTGAGACTGAAGAACTGCACATCAAACCAGGCGATCAGTAACATTGGAGCACCACAGGGGACTGTACTCTCACCATTCCTTTTCACCCTGTACACCTCAGACTTCCAGTACAAATCAGAGACCTGTCATCTACAGAAATACTCAGATGACTCTGCAGTTGTCAGGTGTATCAGAGATGGACAGGAAGCTGAGTACAGAGAGCTGGTGGAGCGCTTTGTGGCATGGTGAGGAAACAATCATCTGACCTTGAACGTGAACAAAACAAAGGAGATGATTTTAGACTTCAGAAGAAACAGGGTGGAGTCAAACACTGTTTCCATCATGGGAGAAGAAGTGGAGGTGGTTGAGGAATACAAATACCTTGGACTTCACCTGGACAACAGACTGGACTGGAGAAAGAACAGTGAAGCCGTTTACAAGAAGGGACACAGCAGACTGCACTTCTTGAGGACGCTTAGGTCCTTCAATGTCTGTAGCAAGATGCTGCAGATCTTCTACAAGTCTGTTGTTGAGAGTGTAATCTCTTCAGCCATCGTCTGTTGGGGTAGTAGCATCAGAAGCAGGGACCTGAAAAGGCTCAACAGCCTAATAAAAAAGGCTGGTTCTGTTCTGGGGATGACTGTGGAACCACTGGAGGAGATCATGCAAAGAAGGATTCTCCAGAGAATCAAGAACGTTATGGACAACCCTGAGCATTCTCTTCACAAGACTGTCCGACAACGGAAGAGTGTCTTCAGTCAGACGCTTCTTCAGTTTCGCTGCAACACTGACCGCTACTGGAGATCCTTCCTGCCAACAGCCATTGTAATATACAATAACTCTTTGATGACTTGATTATTATTATTATTCTGAGCTACTACAGCAATCAGTTTCCCTCTGGGATTAATAAAGTATTTTTGAATTGAATTGGAACACCCTCTGTTCAGAGGAAGTGTGACCATCCAGGATTGATAAACTCACAGCATGCCATAGCAGTAAAATAGCAATGCTGACTTAACAGCAATGTCCATAACACGACACAAACTACTGTTCTGACCCAAATCAGCATACATTTGGATTCTTTGGAGTGCTCTGACTCTGGAAGGCACCACACTAGTGCGAGTCATTTGTCGTTCATCACACCTGAAACAATAATCCAGGAAAAAATATACTGGTTAATGGCCTGTATTTGTATAGCACCTTCTTAGGGTTTTCAACTAGAGGAATACTGATATTTTTAAGGCAGACGCCGATTTTTAAAGAATTTAGTTGCTGAGGGCCGACATCTAAAGCCGAGTATTAAGGCTGATATATATACGTTTTAGCAGCACATTGATAGTGAAAGACAACTGAACACGGACTGTGTGCAAGATAAATGTAATGAGTCAATAAATTTAATATTTATAGAACTTCAAATATAAAACAAACTCAAAACTTATTTAAAAAAATATGTGTTGGGGTCCCTCAGAACCTTTCAGTCTAGTGGTGGCAGCAGTTGGCCACACAGGTGCCCGATTTATTTTTTGTTCGTTTGTCATAGGCTTTTAAAAATAATTTCTGCCGATGGTCAACATAGAAAAAATTGAATGCATCAGTCTGCCTCTATTTTCAACCTTCAGGATTAACACATTCAGTCATCCACCCATTCACATGCTGGTGGTGATGAGCTACAACGTGGCCACAGCTGCCCTGGAGCGCACAAACACAAATACAGGTGCGACCAGTCCCTCTGACCACCACCAGCAGGCAAGGTCGGTTGAGTGTCTTGCTCAAGGACACAACAGCAGGATTCTCTGGGGGGAGCTGAGATTACTGGACAACCCGCTCTGAGCTACTGCTGTCCCCCAGAAAATAATCAGAAGCCACAAGTGAAATGGTGTACATTCATTTTTAAAACCTATTAAGTTAAGAAATAAACACAAACTGGTTCCAAACAGGAAGATTATTTAATAAAGAGGAATTGCAGCATCTCTTCCAGCAGAAAGCAGTCTATTCTTCAATGATCACAACCAAAAACTATTATAAATACCCCCCACAGCCCAACAATTCATGTCATCTGAAAAATCCTTCAAATCACTTCATCTCAGTACTTGTATAAAAATCACTGGACAGAGTCAACAGAGACATCCATCTAAAGAGCATCTATAAGGAAATATAAAAATAAAAGTCATAAACAAAATAAATAGATGCAGACGGCATCGTGATTTCACTCATAATCTCTATGTGTTGAAGTGCTCTTCAGAACAAGTATAAACAAACAAATTAGATTGTTGAAAAGGGTGAACTGCACACTTCATTCAGCTATTCGTCATCAATAGATGAGGATGAACGTTATTGCACAGCGATGGCGTCACAGTTCCTCCCCGCTGAGAGAAACAAACGGGGATAGGTCTTTGGGTTGTTTCTCTCATCTCTGAATGGTTAAACTCCGTTCTTCACCAGCTGGTGGACTCCGCGTTCGTCGATCATCAGGGTTGGATGAAACTCGCGTCCCTTCACCAAGTCCTCCAGACCCTTAAAAAGCCCAAATATATTCAGAACATAAACCGGTAATCAGCACATCATCTAACGCTTCTGTCCTCGGGCCTCACCTCTCCGCCGTAGGACACCAGTGGTGAGATCTCACATTTGATCGGTAGGTCTGTTCCATCCTTCAGGCTGTGCCGGAAAGGACAGATTTAGAGAAGAAACGGGAAGAAGCGGTAGCAAATCCTTGAAACATCTGTTTTTTTACTCAAGCGTGTGATTAGAGATCAAAGACAAAGATCATCAGAGACTCGTCACCAACCAACGATTAGCCTTCTAACCCACAACAGACATCATCTAGAAGGGCATAGGTGGATGGCGTGTGTGTCCTTTGGACCAGCTGGGGAACTTCACACAACACGGCCATCACTCATGTTCCTTTCTAGATAATTACTGCAATCACACACATCCCACATCTGGTGTTTCAGATGCTTAGGTAAAAAACACTGAGAAAAAAAACCGTTATTAACGTGAATGATGCACATTCTAAGATCTATCCACCTTAACAAGCAGGCAGATTTGAACTTCAAGCAATTTAAACAAAAAAATCAATCCCCTTTCCCAGCATGCAATACACATGCACTTCCTGCTTCTACACATGTATCTCAGAGATTGTCATAATCAGAAATTACATCGTCTGAGAGTGAAGAGGATTCTTCTGTCAGCTGAACCCTGACTCACTTCCTTCATCCTATCTGAATGTGCAGTCAGAAAAATGGCTGCCGTTTATCAACGTGACTCTGCAGACTTGACAGACAGTTGAAATGAAGGAAATGCATCAGTGTCATTCTTATCCGGTGTTAAAATGCCCGAGCAAGCGGATGAAAGGAGCCAGAGACCTGTCACCATGCACTCAGTATAGCAGGAGAATAATTACTTTCGGGGGCCACCATCTGAGACACTTCCTGCTGCTCCGCCTCTGGAACTACCGTACGGGACACACAGGTGCAAGCATGAGTGAGGTGGAGGTGAGAGAGTGAAGCTAAAAGAGCATGAACAACACAACACACAGAACAAAGCCAGTGCACGCACGTCTCACACACGGTGAGGAGGGTTTACCACCAGCAACCCAATCATGCGTGGTCACCTGGGTATTGCGGGCACGCGGGTGCCGTTCTCATCGATGAAGTGGCCCCCGGCGTTGAGGACCCAGCGGTGGTGAAGGGACATGAGGGCGTGCCTGGCTGTGGTGGGCGTGTCTTTTCCATCCTGAGCGTCTGCGTTCTTTAGAGGGGAGAACTCGTCCTCCCTCAGCACCTCAAACACAACGAATGTTCTGTTGGGAAAAACAGCATCCCATCAGCGCACGCCGCCATCATACGTGACAGCTTTAAAAGAGATGAAAGGCAAAAATCTCGACTCCACTGGCTCCTTCTGTTTGTGGTGTAGGAACACAGTGTTCCTGCAGCGATCCAGAAACACTGGGTCATCAAACTTTGGTTTGAAAAGTGTTTTTCACATGGAAGATGGTCAAATCTGCAAAATGACAGCTGACAGCAACCCTGGAAACACCCTACAGCTCAGAGTGGTGACTTTTAAAGAGCAAGTCACCCCCAAATCCACTTCTTTTTTGCTGATTAACTATATAAATGAGTGTCTAACCATGCTGTAGACACAAGCAGTCAATCATTTGACACTTAAGTGCATCTTAGTTAAAATTTAAATATTCTGCCTACAACTGTCATTGTTGCACAGCTGTCAGGTAAAAACTCTGCATTGCATTTAAATTTAATCTGCCATTGCTATAGGCTAAGAAGTACACTATGATGTCAGCTGGTACATTATGAGGTCACAATGTCGTGTGTGTGTGTGTATATGTTAGTGGTTCCGCCTTTTAAGTCTGCCAGGCAACAGCATTTTTTGTATTTTTCAAGCAGGAAGTGGGAGTGGAGTTATACTCTGGCAGGGGGTGACTTGCTCTTTAACCTACAGAGATTCTAGTCTGATGTTGAGTGATGCCATGGCTCCTACTTTTTGTTTTCAAATCCCTCCACGGTCTTGACCCTGCGTATTTATCTGGCCTTCTCACAATTTATTCCCCCGGCCGCACACTTCGGTCCTCCAGCTTGTTGCTCCTCGCGGTTCCGAAAGTGCGTTACAAATCATGTGGAGAAAGAGCTTTTTCCGTTGGTGGTCCTAAACTGTGGAATGAACTCCCAGTCACAGTTCGACAGGCATCCTCCTTAGAGGTTTTTAAGTCTAGATTAAAGACACACTGTTTTACCCTTGCATTTAACAGTTAGCTGCTGGATGGGCTTTATTACTTTACTTTACTATACTTGGAAGACATGTTTCCATTGGTTTTATTGGTAACTCTTATTTTTTATTTTATTTTTGGTTGCATTTTATTGTTTCATGTGTTATATTTTTATTATTGTGTGACTGTTCAGCACTTTGGTCAGCCGTATGCCTGTGTTTTTATTAAAGCGCTATACAAATAAAGATGATGATGATGATGATGATGATGATGATGATGATGATGATGGCACAGTGCTGTGCAGGAAGCAGGACAAGGATTGTACCAGTCAGAGACTTTTGGGAACATCAAGAGCAGCTAAAGAAGTAAACTAAAGCATGTGGCCCATTGTAGCTACAGACCTTTCTCATCACTACTGATGACCCTGGAAACACCGTGGGTCCGTTTTATACAAGATTTTGTTGATTTCTGACTAAATTGGAGGTGAGAAGCAAAAAATAAATAAAGAATAACATCTACAAGTGCCATAAACAGAGCTTCCTGGGGGTTTGGAGTCCTCACAACAGCCGCTTTATGCTGAGAGTGTCCGCCCTGGGACCAGGAGATGAGGGTTCAAATCCCGGTTGGGTCATACAAAAGACTTGTAAAAATGGGACTCAAGCTCTTTCTCCACATGATTTGTAACGCACTTTCGGGACTGCGAGGAGCAACAAGCTGGAGGACCTAAGTGTGCGGACGGGGGAATAAATTGGGATGCTTGACACTCAGCTTTAGAGGGTTGGATCTGGGGATTAAACCAACAAATAGATCCTGAGCGTTGTCACAGCTGCAGCTCACCGCTCGCATGGGGATGGGTCAAATGCGGAGATGAATTTCACCAGTGTGTGACGACTAATGGGACTTTAACTTTAGCAGAAGCAAAATGATTTTGTTCTGTGCAACGGTCAAGCCACGCCCCACTGTAGCCTCAGCAGGCCCAAACCATCTTGTGTCTTGCCAATCACAGTGCTCTGTTTGGTGGGCGGGATGTTACTGTGAAAGGGCTTGTTTGAAACAGCTTTGGCATTAACTTAGGACTATTTAGACTTGGGCTTTTATTTGAGTCAGGAGCAGATAGAGGCACTGTCCTTTACTGTCCAGTTGGCTGACATCCATAGTGATGAGTATGTCACGTTGTTCATTGTCCAATAGCAGGTGGTGACAGTTTGGAAGGCAATCGTAGAGTCCGCCCTGAGCTCTCTCTGTAGGACGGCTTGCCAGGCTAAACTTACAAGACTTTAAATTAACAAATGAGGATTTAATTTTTACGAACACAAATCCATTAATGCATTAATTTAAAAAAGAAAGAAAGAAAGAAAATGGCACATGGCTGCACTCTCTACGATGATCTGAAACAAACTGTTCCAACAGAACACGGTGGACCTTTTATTCTAATAAAACCGGCCACAAAACAAGTCGATCTATCTGTATTCTGCCAAGACTGTCAGCGTGCCGCTACAAGCACATCTCTCATCAGCCTTCTGAGCAGAACTGACCCACTTTTACTTCAAATGACAGGATCTAGATCTCAAAGAAAGGCTGACATGTCTGTAGCGTCACTCGTTAGAGGAATCCATTACTTAAACCTACATTTCTATTAGCGGCTGCGTGACTCAGAGCTGATGTCATGAAACACTTGAGAAAGTGGAATGAGAGAACAGCTCATAAACCTCCATCCGCCTTCGGGGAATTTGGCAGTCATGGCCTTCTGAACCGGACCTCAGAGAAATGGCTCAGCTGAAGCTGAGGGACATGGTCAGGGACTGGAGAAAGGAGCTGGATTTCGTATTTTAAAGACCAAATATGATTCGGAGACTACGCCTTTCACCAACGCCAACACGCCATCAGCCTTTCCGTAACTCACTTAGCAAACTGGAAGATGTCGAAGACAAACTTTTCCATCTTGATGCCGTTTGGTTTCTCCGGTTTGATTAGCCGTCCCTGAGCGTCCACATACGGGATCTTCTTCTGGGCTACGTGGTGCTGCAGCTGTGGCTCGAACTTCCTGACACACAAACAAATATTCTGAATTTCGATGCAATTCTTGGTGTGGAAAAACAAAATAAAACCATCTTACAGTCCAAGGCAACATGTTCACTGCATTAGCATCTTACTGCACTACGTCTTTGAGGAAAGAGAAGCTGAAGAAGTGATTGGCTATGTTCCCCGCGTTAAACATCAGGCGACCGTCGGCGCTGCGCTTCTCTGCTGTAGGCAGGGTGATCTCACTGTACTCCACCACCTGATAACGCCCATCCACCTTACAGACCACCCCCACTGCCTCCGTGGGGTTGGTTTTCTCCACCACCTGGAAACAAACACAACTTTACGTGCTACTTTTTTAACTGCAGCCTTTAGACCATTAAATAGACAAGAGTCACAGAAAAACTACTTTACATGACTAAATGATTCTCTTCCACTTTTCTTTTTAAAGTGCATGTTCCATCTGTAGTAAGTAAAAGAAGGCACCCCACCCAGCTGGTGGCTAATAACAGAGAGAGTGCTGATGAAGGAGTTGGGGGGGTGGGGCATAAAACATTAGTGGCTCTAATCGGAGGGCGGGACTCAGGTCTGATCCTAGCTGAGGGTTCTGTGTGTGTGTGTGTGTGTGTGTGTGTGTGTGTGTGTGTGTGTGTGTGTGTGTGTGTGTGTGTGTGTGTGTGTGTGTGTGTGTGTGTGTGTGTGTGTGTGTGTGTGTGTGTGTGTGTGTGTGTGTGTGTGTGTGTGTGTGTGTGTGTGTGTGTGTGTGTGTGTGTGTGTGTGTGTGTTAGACCACGATGGGTGGGATTTGTGATTTTGAAAGAGTGGAAGCAAAACCGTCATGAATGACAGAACAGAGGAGCGTTTGACACAAGTTTGATGTGGTTTCTATGGTGCGTCCTGGTTATTAGTTGTATTAATCATTAATTGCCCAATCAGGATCCCTGCTGTCTGCATGATCCCAACAATGTTTATGAGATCACCAGTAAACAACCTCATGGTTACAAGTTGAATCGGTTTAATTTCCCCATCAGGGGTTGTTTGAGGTCTGAGTTTGTTGTTATGAAGGAAAACAAATCAAACTGGCCATGCCTGCGAGCGGTTTGTAATTCAGGTTCAGTTCTTTTTTGTGTTTGTTCTTTTTTCCACACCAACTGCATTTATCGTTGCTCTCTTTTGTGGAATCAACCTTAGGTTTGAGGCTGGTGGGCGTCTGTCAGGAGATGGTAACGATCAGGTTCAATCTTTAAGCTGCTCCAAGTGCACACGCACACACATTCATCTAGTGATATTCTCTACATTAATTCAATGCTCCAGATTAGTTTGTGTTCCACTTTTCCTAAAGTTTAGACCCTCAGGTGGCCTTTCATTAACCCTGTAATGGGTCGTTTTAGCACATACTGTCGTTTTAGCACATACTGGCTCAAGAACATGATTTTAAAATATGGGAAAAGTCGCTAAATATCCCTTTAAAACACAAGTCATGTTTCCATAAAATGACTTATTTTGAACTATATTCTATATTAACTAAAGCCTCTGTGTCTAGGTGCTGTTTTCCTCCACAGCTCAGATGTGTGACTGGGGTCTGGACTGTTGACAACACGTTCACCTAGGAGGTAAAAGCCACACTGCTCTCCTTAACATGTTCTTCTTTTACTTTCAAACCCACCAAACATCCACTCAGGTGCTTCTCTGTCCTACAAGAGAGGCAACTTTAGCTTTTTCAGATAAAATACATAATAAAGTTTCTATTTCAGTCCAAACTTCTGCTCAACCATCTGAAACATCATCTCATCAAAGCAAAGGACAAGCCAGTGCTTTTCACTAGTTTTTCATCTGAAAATAAACGTTCGTTAGATATTAGATGGATCTGATTTTGGGCTCCAATCCCAAGATTCCTGAAAAGTACTGATGAATTTTCCTGAGGAAGAGGCCAACAGCTCCACTGTGTGGCCCGCTGCGGGTGGTGCAGCTGTTGAGGTTAAAATGATACAGCAGCAAACTCACCACACCTTCAACTACTCAACCCACACTAGAAAGATATGAATGCATGTGCGTCATCAGCACTCAGCACCCATGGAAGAACCAGACTGGCGGATCAGGCTCGAGCAGCCACCCAGTCGCCGCTGTTCCCAAACTTCTTCTCCAACACATCAGCTCTGATTTTCAGGCTTACTGTCCAACAGTGCTTGTACGGTTACATGATTACAGACAGCAGCTGGCCTGATAAAGGGCAACTCTGGTTTTAGGAGTCTTACATGTGTTCTCTATACTTTATGACAAGTTGTCTACAGCTTCCTTTGGCTTTTTAGTGTAGAAGGTGGTGTCAAAGGTCGTTAGCTCATCGGTTCTGTAGGACGTAAACTTTTCTATTCAAATGCCAACTTTACGATATCGATATGAAACAAAACGGGAGTAGAATTAAGAAAACTGAGGTAGACCGCTAGCTGTGTGCTCGTAGGAGATTAAAACTCTTTAATGTGTGGGCGTTGAGCTTAGTAAAATTCTGATTTTTACACACAGAAGATCTGTAACATTAAACAAAACCCATTCAAATGTAAAATTTCTGAGGTATTTAAAGTGAAAGACATCAGAGTTTAATAATTTGCAACAAAACTTCATCCGGATGGAAACGCAAACCGAAATGAACAAACAAAGCATATCTGACCAACCTTAGCTCCACACTCGGCTCCCTTCTTCGCACAAAAACCAATAAAAGTCGGATCAGCCACTTTCACCAGGATGTTGTCGACACAGTAAACGTGGATATACTGGATTCCCCGATGCTCCATGTCATCCAGGACTCCCTGGTTCCCCAGAGATCGGTAGAGACCCCCGTTACCATCTGAAAAACAAACAAACATGTAAACTAATCCCACAACAGTGAAGGAGCCTCCTGAGGTCGCCGATACTGTCGTGGACATACCAGGAGCCATGGAGAGCTTCCCTTTGCTCTCCAGGATGATCTTCCCATTGAAGTCCATTGCAGGAAGCATGCCCTGCTGGAAGAAGACGACGTTGTTTTTATCCAAACCAAAGTAGTTATGCTGTGAGAAGAAATCTTTTGTGGACTCCATCGTCCTGCCGCTGGTCATGATGTACCTGCAGGCAACACAGAACAGACTTAAGACTCGTTTATAAACAGAATATTTCAGTTTCAACTGAAAATAGGAAATGTAAAACAAAAGAGATGATCCGTGTCAATTAAAATCCTTAATTGTGTGTTATGAAATGCTGCAAAATCTTTTTTATGAATAAGACCCTAAATGAAACACCTTAAAGCTGCAGGAACAATATAATCTGCACCTTTCTACTCTTTATATCTCCATCTGTTATTTTTAAATCTCTAAACAACTCTTATCTTCTCTCTAGGAGGCTAATTCTTTGTGTCCTTCATTGAGTTTCTTATGCTCACAGTAAATCATCACAGAGACATGACAGGACAAGCAGAGTTTGGTCATTTTTCTCAATTTTCTCAGATAAAACACTGGATTCAGCAGCATGAGATCATCTCAAGGCCTCATCTCACCAAGGAACACAGCACTTCTTTTTATTCTTCTGCTCGGCCAGCTGCTGCAGCTTCAAAATGCGCTCAGCTTGGATCTGAAAAAGAGTTTTGTGGGAAGGCAGCCCGACGTCGTACATGCCTTTGGGGTAAGAGACCCCCAGTCTGGTTCCCTGGCCCCCTGCCAAAAGTAAGGCTGCCACCTTATTCTGAGAGACACAGTCGAGACCTGGGGGAGACAGCGCAGAAGTAAAAGAGAGACACCCCATGTGGTGCACTGAAATCCCAAAACAAGAGTTCATATTGCTAATCTTTCTGAATTCTGATTTTGTGACAGAACAATAATCCTAAAAAAGATAAGCGGATAACATTTTATCAGGAACATTCCCCAACATTTTACAGCTGGTCCCAATGAACCTTGGAGTTCTGAACTCAAATCTAACAGCTGATTTTATAATAGTTTAATGAGTCTAGTTTATCTCGCATTAACCACAGGCTACGTGACACGATACGCTACGATATTTCTACAAGCAGGAGCCAAGAGACAAGATGTATGACGGGCGGGTTGGCTGGACTTTGACTGTGTGTGTGTGTGTGTGTGTGTGTGTGTGTGTGTGTGTGTGTGTGTGTGTGTGTGTGTGTGTGTGTGTGTACGTACACTCACACACTCACAATCACACACACACACACACACACACACACACACACACACACACACACACACATTGATGAGAGTAAATGGTGACTTCATAAAGGCGTCAACTCCAGCTCCGTCAGCCACAAATCAAAACCAGATGGCTTCTCCAAAGTCACCCCCACACTCTTCCTCACCCAGGAGAAAACTAAATAAATTCAAATGACTCAGTAAATGGTCAGACTTCAACTGGAAGAGATTGCCCAAATCACAATGAGCAACAAATGGCAAAATAAACACAGGAGATAAAAACCAGGACTCGGGTATGAGTTTATGCATCCACCCCGGACAACGAGGGTTTTGACTAAAAAGAATACATAAATATGTTTTGAAATAGATGCTTTATGGAAAGCATACACCTGGACGGCTACGCTTATTAACAAAATCCCGTTATAGCTCAAACTCCAGTAGTGTCGATAGCTAAACTCTTACACCCTCCTTTATCAGGGGGTTTCCAACAGTTCTGGAAACAAACACAATAAAGCCATATAGTAATTTAAATATATTCTGCTTCCGCACACTTTTACTGTTCTCTGGAGCAACAAAAGGGTCAAAGTTTGATTACAGAAAGCCACTGTGTGTCTGACTGATCTTACCTTCAGCCTCCCAGGTTTTCAGACTCGCCCTGTCCCTTGTCACACTTCCAAGTACCTCCTGAGGCACTGGCTCCATTCGGGCATCCATCTTCTCGTGTTTGCTGCTGTTGGACGTCTCCATGGCACTCTTGAAGAATTCATTGATCTCCTTAAAGTCCATGTCCTGCAGATCGTTGGTCAGCTCCACCTGTTCTTCAGGGCTCAGCTCACTGCAGAACTGCAGGACATGAGACTGGCCGGCTTCAGCCAGCTTCTGCATGAGTCTGCTGTTTAGGTCCATGATTAGCTGGGTCTGTAATCAGCTCTGGCGTACAATAAACAATTAAAAAAAAGGAATGGTTATGAGGAATTCTGAGAACTGTGAACGACATCCTGGTATTTTAAAGGCAAGCTGTGGTTACAATTAGAGGAAAAATCAGGTAGGCAGAGTTCATACAAGCTGACCTTGCCCTTGATGGATAGTCATTCCTATTTCCTGACAAATCATGGTAAAACTAGTGCAACTAGTGACGAATCATCATCCAGAGATACACAGTTTAAATTAAAACCTTTAAAGTCCAAATGATCTCTCGTTTCCTGTAATTAAATGAGTAGCCTGTTGGACCAGGAAATAAAATGTGATGCTGAGGGCTGACGTTACACCATCACATGCTGGTTTATATCATACTAAATAAATACTTGTTATAATACTCATGGTATAAATAAAAATAAATCCATCAGCTCATAATTGAGTTGTAAACTTGAGTTTATTAGTTTTTGTTTGTTGACATTCTCTTCAGGATTTCAAGTTAAAGGATTAAAAACGCAGCAAGGAAGCTTCGTTTCACAAATAAGACAGAAAATAAACCAAACCACAAACAGAACTGACTTCATAAAACTCTGCTGCTCGTATAAATCGTTGTGACCACGTAAACGTCATTTAACGTTTGTTTTTAGAAGTTGTCTGTCAGACACATGAGCCTTGCGTTAGCAAAGCTGCTAGCTCGCTACCTCTGAAGAAAACCGAGTGAGGAGTGAAAACATCAAATACGAACTTATTCAAATATTAAACTCTCACCTCTTTCAGGAACTCCTCTTGGTTGGGTGAACATAAATTTAAAAAGATGTTCCTGCTTTAGCTTGCGATGCCTCCGGTTCCACGCCTCCCACCGGAGTACACGTCCTCTAACGTCACCTCAACGTGGCAACAGAGGCGTCGCGCGCGACGTGCTGCGTTCAGTGGCTGCTCGTAAGTACCTTGCCCCTGGTTTAAACTGGCAAATAAATGGGTTTAAGACCTAAGACTCATAATTTACATAAAGTAAAGTTAGAAGATCTAGACCTGATCAATTAAAATTGTTATATGTATTTAAGAAGTAAAAGGTTATTACTTAAGGAAGTATAAAGTTATTTAAAATTTCCCATCCCCTTAAAATGTAAAGATGATCCTTTAAAAACTATGGTCAACATTCACCTTTCAAACGAAATTATAATGAGAAGGTTCAGTTTTGTGGTTGAAAACTGTTACATCTGTAAAATAAATCTGGAGATATCAGAGCAGTTGTTATAGGAATATGACAGTGTCTGACAGTTGTGGAAATCTCTCCATGAATCATTATCTAATTTTATTAACACTGACTTTTGGACTGCTCAGAATATTCAATTTGTTCTCAAATAAAAAAAATAGAATTGTTGGTGAATAATCTTGTTGTTTTCAAAGTATTTTATACATAAATGTTGATACACCAAGTCTCCCCTCTCATAGCTTTTTCTTAAAGAGCAAGTCACCCCAAATAAACTTTTTTTTGCTGATAAACTAAATAAACGAGTGTCTAATCGTGCTGCAGACACGTGTCGTCAATAATTTGGCACTTCAGTGCATCTTAGTTAAAATTTAAATATTCTGCCTAAAACTGGCAGTGTTGTGCCGTTGTCAGGTAAAAACTCTGCACTGTATTTTAATTTAAATCTGCCACCGCTATTGGCTAAGAGGTATGCTATGATGTAAACTGGTACATTATGATGTCACAATGCTGTTGTGAGCCTGTGTGTGTGTATTTGTTAGCAGCCGCCTTCTCGGTCTGCCAGGCAACAGCATTTGTTGCATTTTTCAAACATGAAGTGGGAGTGGAGATTGGCTGTGTCTCAATTCAGGGTCTGCATCCTTCGTCGGACGGATTCGTCGGCCGGTTACGTCACAGCGCCGCGACTAGGCCTGTCCCAATTCGAAGACTCCTTCAAATGCGGTCGACGAATCCGGCCTTCTTTTCGCCTGTATGAAGGATGGGTCCGGTGTATCCTTCAATGGTTTACATTTCCCAAGATGCCTTGCGGGCCGGACAGTAGAACTTTTAAAAACAATGGCGGACAGTGAAGCGGGAGCTGTCGGAGAGGATTGTGCTTATAAATGTCAGTATAAACTTAAATTGTTAGGTTAAGGACATTTTGTGATACATGAATGTTATTTTAGTTAGAAATGTTACAGTAAAAGTTCTTGTATTGCGGTCTCGGCTCGTATGTTCGGCCGCTCGGTGTCGTACTTCTCCTGCTACGTTTTCCCCCTGATTTTAATAGGAGTTTGTATTTTAGGGACAAAGGAGAAAACCAGGGAATTTATTAAGCTTAGGGTGGAGATGGACCACATGATCACCGGAGCAAAGTATTCGGCGGCTGTGGCATGGAGGTACAATAACATCTCATATTTTAAAAAACTCGTTTGAGTTTATTTTTTTCTGCGAAAACATGAAAGGAATAACTCGTTGTCCTCTTTTCTCTTCCTGTTTCTTTTCTTACATGTTTGTTAAGACTATTCTGGAGAAAATGGGCATCCAGGGGAAGGTGCCAGCGATGACCAGCTCCTGCAGCTGATCAGGGAGGACATGAGGCTACAGAGGGAGGCAGAGCAGCAGAGGGCACAGGAGAGAAGGGAGAACTTTGACAGCTTTTTACTTTGCTAGAAGAAATGGTTAATAAAGATTAAACATGTACATATAAAAGAAATATCTAAATAAAATCAGTTCTGCATTAAACTCTTGGATTTTATTTTTGTTTACAAATGAGAATTGTTTACTAGAGGGTATCCCGCTGGGTCTGAAAAGTCTTAAAAGGTAATAAATCGGTTTTGGTTAGAAATTATTAAAAACTATGATCACATCTTTGCTCAGGCTCAGCTTGTCGAAAGTATTTTCTCTGAATTAGCTCTCCAACAGTCAAGGAAATTATTAAAAAGCTAAATAAAACGTCGAGCTCCATCGTTTAAAGTTCCTTCTCCCTTCTGCTCAGCGGTTCCACGGTTGCTAGGCGACGGAACGTTCACCAAGGGAGTGGCGGGAATTCATGAAGGCTAGGCCTGTCCAAATTCACAGCCGTTAACATCCGGTCTACTCGGCCGACGGAGGACCCAGCCCACGTCAGCCGAGTAGACTGGGTCCTTCGAAGGATGCAGACCCTGAATTGAGACACAGCCTTAGACTCTGGTAGGGGTTGACTTGCTCTTTAATTTTCTGCCTAAAACTGTCAGTGTTGTGCCGTTGTCAGACAAAAACTCTGCACTGCATTTGATTTAAATCTGCCATTGCTATTGGCTAAATGGTACCCTAGAATGTTAGCTGGTACCATATGATGTCACAATGTCATTGTGAGCCTGTGTGTGTGTGTGTGTGTGTGTGTGTGTGTGTGTGTGTGTGTGTGTGTGTGTATTTGTTAGTGGCTCCGCCTTCTCGGTCTGCCAGGCAACAGCATTTGTTGCATTTTTCAAACAGGAAGTGGGAGTGGAGTAATACTCTGGTAGGGGGTGACTTGCTCTTTAAAAATTCTATCTACTTGTAACATAAATGTTTGAAACTTTTAGATAAGCTCTTGCAATTAGTCTGTACAACCCCTTTTATTTGTTTGTTTGCTTGTCAGCTTGTTATTCTGTTTTTGTGTGTTTTACTAAACTTGTTTTATCTTTATTTTCTTCCTATTTAATTGTCTTTCTTATATTGTTGTATATTTTCTTGTTGATATATTTAGCACCAAAAGGTTTAACTTTTTATCTTAAAGGAGGTGAAAATTTATATTCAAATGTTAAATTCTTGAGTTGGTATTGGAGTTTGTCATTGTACCTGTATCTGATTTTCTACCTGGTTTGAATAACATTTTTAATGACACTTGAAATTTTAATATTGTAAACCACCTACTCGTTGTTTAGGTAATACTAACCGGCTTGAATTGCTTTAATTATATTACGTATACATCTCTTGAAATGCAAACCAATTGTTTGCCTCCATAAATCAACGTCTTGCTTTCTTGTAAACCTGGAAGTAGATCAAATTTACAAGATGATGACTTTTCACTTTTTACATTATTAAGCAGAAGTAATTTTACATCTCAGTCACGGACACATCTGAGACGATATTTGCTGCCCCAGACACAGAATGATTGTAAAACTAAGATCTGTAATCCATGCACAAAATAGTTTAACTATACTTGTCCCGAAAGGACTGGACCAGGAAGTAGTCCCACCATAAATATTAAGTATACATTTATTTTTATTGAAAATCAATTTATTTAAACTAAAGATTAAATAATTTTTTGCTGCAAAACCTAATGAAAACAATTTAGTAAAATTTAATTTTTGTCTGTCATGGAAAACGTTATACTTCAGTTCCGTTCCCAACCACACGAGGGCGACACTACCGTCTTTGGAGCGGAAGTAGGTTTTTTTTTTCTGCCAATTGAATTTTTTGTTTTGGTCCTCCTAGCTGAGCGTAGTACGGTGCTTGAATTTTTCTGATGTTTTAACTGGCAGATAAAATGAAGAAGTTTTTTGATGACATTAAAAAAGACATGAAGTTTAAATCTGCGGGACCTGGAAAGAAGTTAACCGAAGATACCAGGTAAATAGAGCGCTTTTGACCTGCTAACAGATTACAGTTGATGTTAAATTCCAAGACAAATTTGTGTCACGTTTGTGTTATTTCTGTGTTAAAGTTAGTGTTTCGTCTAAAACATACAGTTTTAGTTACAAATAGATTGTGTAATCCTCCAGTCGACGTGCTGAGCTCAGTTTAGGATAATCCTCGAAGAAGCTAGTAAGTTGTAACGTCTAAGAAGCTGTATTACGTTACGTTGTTTTGTTTTGCTTATTTACCTCTTATTAGTTGTATGCTGTCTGAATCGTTAGGAGGTTAAAGGCTGTATATGAACTTTTCAGTAGCAGACCGGAGGTGGTTCAGAGCAGCTCCAGTGCTAAACAGAACCGCCATCACGCTCCCAGTGAAGGGGCCCAGAGGGCAGGCGCCGCGGCCCTAGCCCGGATCGAACAGAAGCAGCGGCCAAAGGTGCACACCTCCCAGGACGCGATCAGAAACCAGGGTGAGACCCGCCGTTCACCTCAGATCCTTCTGACATACCACATGTAGTCCAGTCACTGGTATTCCTGTAGGCGATGCTTCATGCATTATTTACCCCTTTACTTTTCATGAGGCGTAGTGTAATTAAAACACAACAAGCTGTGAATACAACATTCAGGCTGACTCAGTAATTCATTTTAATCCCACCAAAAACGTGACAGTCCAACTAGTTTTCCACTGACAGGTACAGAAATTGTTTGACCTTAAATCAAAGTATTTACCTGAAAATTTCACATCGGCAGCACAACCAGATGGCAACATCTTCCAGAAAACAGTTCAGGAACAAGCTGTGCACTCAACCTCCTGACCATGATAACAACCAGGGCCCTTAACGGGTTTTAGGATCTTTGAAAATGCTCAATTTGAATTTCAAAATCATGAAAGTTCTTGTTTTTTGAATCAGTGTTAAATAATGTCACTGAAACTGGTCATAACACAATAACTTTCAATTCAGGTTCAATTCAAGTTTATTTATATAGCGCCAAATCATGACAAGAGTCGTCTCAAGGCACTTCACATAATAAACATTCCAATTCAGGTCAGTTCATTAAGCCAATCAGTAAAAAGTTTCCTATATAAGGAACCCAGCAAATTGCATTGTGTTGGTGACTTTACAGCAATCCTCATACTAAGCAAGCATAAAGCCACAGTGGAGAGGAAAACTCCCTTTTAACAGGAAGAAACCTCCAGAGGATCCTGACTCAGTATAAGCATCCATCCTCCATGACTCACTGGGGATGGAGAAGACAGGACACACAGACACACAGACACACAGACATACACACACACACACACACACACACACACACACAACATATATAGCAAGTAGTGTGTCTATGGTTACATTGTGATTTCTTTGTAAATATTCTATTTGGTGAGAGATAAACTGTATTGTATTTATCCTAGTGGATCTATGATTGAACGGGTAAACTAGTAGTTTTCCTTTCATGAAACAAGGAAGTGAGCAGACATGCTGTTCATGTGCGTGCAAATTTGAGTTAGACTGATATATCGGGCCGACATTTACCATTTATACATCGGCATCACCGATACTGGCCCTTAGTAAAGCCAATTTAAAGAGCAAGTCACCCCCAAATAAACAGTTTTTTCCTGATAAACTATATAAATGTGTGTCTAATCGTGCTGCAGACATGTGTAGTCAATAGTTTTGCACTTTAGTGCATTTTAGTTCAAATTTAAAATTTCTGCCTAAAACTGTCAGTGTTGTGCCGTTGTCAGGTAAAAACTCTGCACCGCATTTAAATTTGGAATCTGCCATCGCTATTGGCTAAGAGGTATGCTATGATGTCAACTGGTACCATATGATGTCACAGTGTCGTTGTGAGCCTGTGTGTGTGTGTGTGTGTGTGTGTGTGTGTGTGTGTGTGTGTGTGTGTGTGTGTGTGTGTGTGTTAGCGGCTCCGCCCTCTCGGTTTGATAAGCAACAGCATTTGTTGCATTTTTCAAACAGGAAGTGGGAGTGAGGTAAGTTTCTTGTAGGGGTGACTTGCTCTTTAAGGTCAGGAACTTGTTCGGGCAGTCCGATGATGTTGCAGAATATGATTTAAATGTACTTTTACGTTCACTAATAACCTCTGCATAATAAATATTCTAAATTAACTTTATTTAGGTGTCTGACTTTAACACTGAGCAGTGCACAAACAATTAGTTAAATTCAGAGTTTAAAAACTGATTCAGCTTCTGATGTTCTGCATTTTAGTGTGAAAATAAGGTGGAAAATGTCTCTATCAGCCTTGAAGATCAGCAGTACATGTCAGTTACTGGCTGACCATGTCTCCTACATATCTGCTTCGGTGCTGGCAACACAATATCGGTCTACCTCTAGTGTGAATTATCACTAATGTAAGGTTTTCATTAAGTAATTACATTTCATTTGTTTAACACCATCCATAGAAAAAATGCAGATAAAAAAGGTAATCTTGTTCTGTAATTACTTGATTTGTAAGACTTTCTCTATCAGCCAGACTGTTAAGTTGTTGCACTTTTTGTTAAAAAGTACCTGATCATGTAAAGTCCACAAACAATAATTATAAAATTAACCAGTGAAGGTATGACATATTATTAAAGGAATCATGTGTTGTTGTTTAGAGAAAATAAAAGCATGAATAATAATAATAATAATAATAATAATGTTTTGACACCAGCCTTTCAAATTTGAACTTTTTAAAAATAGAAATAATTTTCAGAGACTTGACCAAACAGCTGAGATTCTTGTTATTACTAATTCTAATAATGACCAAGCTTTTGATGTCTGACATGGTTAAATATGACAGACTGTTTAATTCAGATGAACTTGACTGTAGTTTCAGTGCTTAAACCATTCAAAGTTGATCATCTGTTATCTAACTGGCGTGCAATGAGCTCTACTGCAGCAGACAGAAAAAAACAAGGCAGTGGTTGTTTTTGTTTATCTTTCTGATGTGTTGACATTAAACGGATGCTGATGTCAGCAAACATCGTTTGTTTGCGTGTTTTTTCTGTTTCTAGTTAAAAGGGAACTGGAGGCTGAGGCGGCCGCAGTGGCTGAAAAAGCAAAAGCAGCATCAGCCGAGGTCTGGGCTGGCTCTAGCGACACAACTTTTCCATTTTATTTAACTCCATAAATGACTGGATGAATTTATGTTCAGGGATCCGGAGTTCCAGTGAAAGATTTTGCCTGCCTCTCCGTGTCGGGTGTTTATTTCACCTGTCCTCTCACTGGAGCCACGCTAACGAAAAGTCAGAGGGAGGTGCACCTTAAGGAGGCCATTTTCATGGTACGTCTGTTGGAGCATGGCTTTATTTTTTATCAACATAATGAGATTAAAGCTAATCCTGCTGGTTTTGTTGGTGAAATAATCTCTGTTTCTACCATCAGCGCTTTGAGGAGGATGCAGTGGAGGCTTCTGTTATGATGATCCACACGTTTAACAAAGACAGAGACAAAGTGAAGACTGCTGTGGACATTATTAGCAAGTAAGTCGGTTATAGCAGGGTTTGGTGCGGTGTGGGTCATCATGGACCAGCTTTTCAGGCGAGCGTTTCTATCGCAGTTTGGGCTCTCATGTTGGCAGGCAGGGTTAAACGAACCGTCATACGCAATTAAAAAAAAAAGTTGTGCAGCTATTCTGTATTTTTGTGCTGCAATAAATGGTCTGCTGAGCTAAAGACAGAAATAAATGCTTACCAACAGACTCCACAAGTAACTTCAGTGTGTGTTTCTCCCATTTCCACCCTGAAAAAAAAATCCACTCCGGCTTTTTCTGTCCTTACCTTTCTACACGGGGCTTACATTTCTTCAGCTTGGCCCCGTTCCGACGTCCGCTGGAATCCTTCGGCTGCCATCCACTGAGAAACAAAACGTATTACAATCCTTACCGATCCTTCTAGCTCAGGGGTGTCACACTCGCACGGGGCCGAGATGAAACTCTGGGACGGAGTCGAGGGCCAAACTTCATATTTTTTTGAAAAAGTGACGGCAAATTTGCACATTTTCTTTATCAACATATATGCAATTTTGAACCTTTTAATTTGGAAACAAACATATTTCTGCATTAACACTGAATGTGGAATAACCAAATTACACACGAGCAAGTCAGTTTTAAATAAAACGCATCAGTGGTATTCATTACTTGTGGTATAATCAGCATTTTATAAATCTATTCAGGATTTATGTTTTCTTGTTTATTCATTTTTCTTATTTTTTATTCTCCTTTTTTCTCCTGTAATACGTGTCATCGCTGCTGTGACGTCTAGCTTTCCCCACTGAGGAACAATAAAGGGATTTTCTATTCTATTCATCTATCTGCAGCCTTTCCACTTCCTGTTTACTGTAGGTTAAATCTTTTCTCACGGGCCAACAACAAAATAAAAATATCATTTTATCTTAAATGAAAATGCAACATCTCACCTGTTAACTTTCATGTTTTGGAGCATAAAAAGAGCATAAAGCCAACATCGGACTGACAAAAACTAGAACAGTTCTTGTATGTGAAGCCATATCTGTTTGTATTAATGTGGAGTTCGTCTGTATATTTCCTTCGTTGTTATCTAAATACTTTCTTTGACTCAAAATATTGCTTGGTGTCTTTCAATAAAGTTCTTATATGTAATTTTGCCCCATTTCATCAACATCAAGAGCTTTTGAGGGTCACCGTTTATCATTTGCTTATATTTAACATTTCCTCTAGAAATTTAAACATATTTTCTCCAAAAAGGGTTGTTTTTTGGACTACAGGGCTACAACCGCAAATTTGTTCTGACCAATCAAAATCAAAACATGATAACGTCACTTCCTTAAGCTTCATGTTCAGCCAATCAACTACTTTGATGTCATCGGCAGTCGAAGGACCCCGAGCCGATCCTGCACCCGAGCCGATCCTGTACTGACACCGGCAGCAGACGCTGGAAAAAACACAAAGGAGGGGGCGGTTCGGCTCCGCGCTAATGCCGCAAAGCATCATGGGAGTTGTAGTCTTTGCTGTAAAATCGCCCTAAAAGGTAGCGCGCCGATCCTCCCCGTTGTGTGCCAAAACGGTCGAGGGAAATGAGGCTTTAGGACGGGTATTAGGCTTTTACCTCAACATCTTTATAATATTTTCAGCTGCTTTTATATTTTACTTAGATTTTTTTAATTGTTTGATGACAGGTATGTTGAGAACATCTGTAAAAACCCCACAGAGGAGAAATACAGGAAGATTAAAGTCAGTAACAAGGTGTTTCAGGTGAGTTTGAGACCAGCTTCCTGTGCCCCGTGTTTCTTTCCTGTCTGGCTCTGGGCTGATCGTTTAGGAAAGGCTGTACATCAGACAGTGTTGTATATTTAATGATTCCTCGTTTTGTTTTAGGAGAAAGTGCTTCCTGTTGAAGGCAGTCGAGAGTTTCTGCAGGCTTTGGGTTTCATTAGTGTTATGCTTCCTGTGGAGGGCCAAGGTAAAGGAGTGGTCCTTTTGTTTTTTTATAAATTTGTCTGAGAGAGATCGGTGTTATTACGTGCACTTGCTTTTTTCACTTTCACTGGCGATCAGAGGAGGACGAGGAGTTCCTGGTGTTACCAGAGCAGAGCCCCGATGCCCTGGAGCTGATGAAGGAGAGAAGAGATCGTCTTCAGAAAGGACAACCGGTCAGAGCTCAGCTGGACCGGCAGCCTCAGGCGTTCAGACCATCTCCTAACGCTCAGAAATTCGAGCTGCCGTCGGAGTTCTACAATCTGACAGCAGAGGAGCTGAAGAGGGAGCAACAGCTCAGGTACCGGGTTAGATACACAAATCCACCTCAGGCTGCTTCTAGCCGTCAGTCAGAGCGGGTACTGAACACACCTGTGCAGCGCCAGGCTAAAGACCAGAGGCGACAGATCATTTGCTGCTGTGGCCCCCAGACTCTTGAACTCTCTCCCCCTGAGCCTGAGATCAGTGGACTCAGTGGTCTCCTTTAAAACGCAGCAGAAACCTCACTTGTTCATGCTGGTTTTGGTGTGACCTTCATGACCCTCTCATTGTTCTGCTCTCCCCACCTATTCCACCTTCCTCAGGATCCACTCATTTCCCTCTTATCTATTCACTCTCTTTCTTTTCATTTTTAATCGCAATTGTCTATTTTTTTGCTCATTTAAAATATATTGTTAACAATTTTCTAAATAATTTTTGATATTTTTACATTATTTGTTTTTGTGAAGCGCCTCGTGATTTTTATCTTGAGAGGCGCTATAGAAAAGATCTCTTCTTTTTCTACCTTTATGTGTTTCCCAGGAGCGAGCTGGTAGAGAAGAACAGCATGCTTCGCACCAAAGCCATGAGGGAAAAGGAGGAACAGAGAGAGAGGAGAAAATACAACTACACCCTGCTCAGGGTCAGACTGCCCGATGGGAACCTGCTACAAGGTAAGACCTCACCACCTTTCCTTTACTTTGTTTTAGGAAAATGTTTAGTCATAGTTCTCCTTTGTAAAAGTCAAGTAAAGCTGATGTGCTGCTCCTCTATAGGCACCTTTTATGCCTGGGACCGGGTGCATGCGCTCTTTGAGTTTGTGCGCGAGTCCCTGGTGGACGGCTGGCAGCCCTTCGAGCTCGTCGCCCCCGGAGGTCAGAAACTACAAGAGTCAGAGGAGGTTTCTCTCGTTGAGTGTAACTTGGTGAGTTAAACCTCAAATCTCTAAGTAAACTCTGCAAAAACTATAATAAAAATCCTAACATCAGTTTGACCTGGTTTTTTCGTTGACTAGAAGAAACTTTCTAATGAAACCTGATTATCATTTTATTGACACGCCTAAACCCCAACCCCAAAATTCCACTACCTCCGCTCCGGCACGAACTCCACAGCAAAATCGGTCCCGTTGTAGCCAATCAGAGTTGTTCCACTACTGCGGCTGTGCGGCGCCGTTCCGCCATCCGGCAAAAATAGGATCGATTCTATTTTTGCCGGACGCCGGAGCACCTCCGCAGTAAATGGACAGAAATCACAACCGCCCAACAGGAAAGGGAGCAAGCACAACTTCCATTATTTCACAATAAATCGATAAACAAAAGGCGTTTTTTGTTTCATATGCGCAGGTTTAACAACTTTTAACAACTATCAATGGCGGCTGAACTTTAAATGCACAAAAATAAACCATAAATAGTTTCTACTATCAAAGTAGTCACACTTTGTTGATCCAAACACTGCTGATCTCTCATCACAAATGATGGGCAGATTAAACAGTTCATGCCGATGCTTCTCCCACACAACGGGTGTTTGGATCTAACTTCCGCGTTTATTGCTCGGACTGTATCGCAAGATCTCGAAAATCCCGCGCATGCTTGTTTGCCCCCCTCAGGTCTCCGCACCGGAGCGGAGCCGTTGTAGAGCGGGTACCAGTAAAAATTGAGTTCGGAAGCGAGCGGCTGCGAAGGCGGGGCGGAGGTAGTGGAATTTAAGATTAAGACTGGCTAGATCATGTTACTAACACCATGTTTGTTTGAGCTCCTCCTCCTGTTGGACTGGTGTTCATTTCTGCTCTGGGTTGTTTTAGGTCCCTGCCGCCCTGCTCACGTTCAACTGGGATGCAGTTGTCCAGGCTGACATAGCAGCTGCAGGCGGGAAAAGCCCCACCCTCCTCAAACCAGAGCTGCTGGAAACCATCCAAATGCTGAGCTGAACTGAGCATGCTCACCCCTTTTTCTGGAGTAAACTTAACTCCTTCACTAGTGATGTTTTTATTTTTACATTCCAACCCTGATGGCTGTTTAGTCTCCATGTTGGAATGCTGTTTGTGGTCTCAGCAGCACGTGTTGAAGGAATTATTAGTAACATGTTGATGGTAAACCAAAGGCCAAGTGCGGTTTCAGATCTGATGTTCAGGTGTGCATTTCTAGTGATTACGGCATGTGGAGACCTCCTGTCTGTCCCCATCTCCCCATGTGAGCTCATAGTGTTGTAAACACGTTTTTTGGAAGTGTTGATCAGTTTCTTTTGTCAGTGTTCAAGGCGAGTTGGGTGACCGTCTGTGACGCAGACCCGCCTCCATTACTGTAAACACACGCACGCTGCTGCCTGCTTAATCTCGGCCCCGCGCTTGTTCAGCAGACCCAGTTGTCTATTTAAAGACCGACTGATAACTCAAAAACACGGTTTCCATGGCTAACGTTACTGAATCCTAGGAATGTGACGGCAGTTCCGATAACTAGACTTGCTTGTGTTTTATTAATCCAAAGCACTTTGAAGGATCTAGATGTATGTATGAGATAAAAGAATGAAATTAAGCCACAAGCTACTAACGTCTAGCATAAAGATAGTTTAGCATTTGTTTGGGTCAAACATTTTCTCAACATAAAAAGGTTTTACTTCTAAAACACAACTCCGTTAAAATGTGCTCCGCTCTAAATCTGCATCTGGTTAAGCTGTCCCTCGAACAGATGAGATCATTTATTAAGTGGTGCATTAAAATGCAGGATTGTTCTATCACCTGAGATTTTGTGTTTGAAGGTTAAACCTTTACCTTCAGGTTAGTCTATTCTAAACTAATTCTGGTCGGTTAGGATGGTAACTACCTCTCATTATTCACCAACAGACCTGAGACCGATTGTTAGTGATTTTCATGGTTTTATGTAACGATCCAGACGGACATAAAGGAAACTGGAGTGTTTGTCTCACAATCTGTCATTGATAAGCAAATTCAGTTGTGATTTCACTTGTTTTCATCCTACATCAGCGTCTTGCGTGAGTCTGAATCTCCAATAAAGCTTAGTATTTTTGTAAAGTTAGTGAGCAGCTGTGAGTTAATGTCCAGCTTTGAGTTGTACTCTGTTGCTTCTGAACCTGCTTGTGATAAAAAAAAATACTCCCCACTGAGGATTTTCTTCAATAAACAGAAACATGAGGCCAGTTTTTGTATTAATACCTTCACCTGATTTAACCCTCTCAGGCTCAAAATAAGTTTTGATAAAAGAACGAACAACGAAGTCCTTCAGCGGTTCTTCTGAGTTAAAAATGTTCATGAAACACGTGTGTGGAGTAACCAGGTAGGTAGGTTTTAACTGTTGCACATCTGCAACGCCTGCCTCCAGAGGGTTAAACCATGAAAGGAGCCTTAAAGGTGCAGAATTTTTATTCACGTTTAATGAATTTATCTTGTTCAAGTAATCTTGAAAAATACAGAAAATACATATTTATAAAACACCAACACTAACTGTACAAGAACAGATCTCTCAACTACCCCAGTGAGCTGTCAGACACGGCAGAGTAAATGAAACCAGGGACGAATGTACAGGTGGACATGGAGCCTGTTTCCCAGCATCGAGGTGTGATGAACTATTTACATTAAATCAAAAGAAAACCAGTGGGTTTGTTAATAATTCTCAAAAACTGTAAAATGATGGTGTTCCTGATGTTTTGAATTGTTATGAGAAATCATTTTTGCTCTGCTTTTATCCAAAAACAAGTGATCTATACCTTAGAACACGAGGCGAGTGGTACGGTAGAACTTAAAATATAGAGCTGAACACTTGTCTTTACATGCAGCGTGCCTCGATTTTCCTTAAGGTTTTAAAAGGGATGAGGAGGTGAGGAGGAGCGAGCACGGTGCGGTGCGGTGCGGTCCTCAGGCTGTGGGGAGAGTCGGAGCAGATCCACCCTCGGGGAGAGCAGCTGAATCCAAGGGGGTTGCCTCCATTAGATTGTCAATGGCAACAGTTGCATTTTTATTTTTAGAGTCTAAAATGTCAAGTAAAAAAAAATTATATCATGGAAGGCAACATTCATGTTAAGTTAGCAAGAACGATTTCCTTAAGGTATCTCACCAGTGTGAGCCGAGACGATGACACATTCATCATCATCCTCCTCAGTGTCAGCCTGAAAACTGTCTGCCTCCGTCGCTTCAGTCTGGATTCAAACAACAGGAATAAAGTCAGTGAATGAAAACCCACCTGAAGGTGACTCACCCGCTCAAAAACCCTCACCTGGTCAGGATTGGAACATTTCTTCATGAATTTTGTGATCGACATGCTGCCGGCGCTCTTCCGCTTGTTGGAGGAAGAAGAGGTCTGAGGTGTGGAGGGGGAGTTTCCCTGAGAGCCCGTGGCTGCCTGGGCTTCATCACGAAACTCCTCCCGAGCTCCTGTGGTGTGGTAGGTCCACTGGCACGGAACTGGGAGAGCCTCCTGGCCGAAACGGGACAGGACCTCCGCATGAACGTACCAGCAACAGCGCCTGTAGGAGGAGCGCTTCTCATAAACAGCGTTGTTCTTGATGAGACGCCTCAGCAGAATTCTGGTCAAAAGACGAAGATGAAATTAGATTTTCACATGGCTGATATTAAAACGTTTACATTTGCTGAAGACAAAGTTAGAGCTGCACAAGGTTACGTTTGAGCATCAACACTGGAATGTAGGAGAGCGCGATCGCTGGTCCTCAACGCGTTCTCATCTAACGGTGACGGGTAGCTGGCACGCAGCAATCCACCAATCACGTTTGTACTCATTGTTCACAGTGGATTTCATTGGATATCTGATGCACCAATCAACATTATACAGCAGAGTTGTCCAGTCCAGGTCCTCAGGGCCCACTGTGCTGTCTGCTCTCATTTAGGGATGCACCGAAATGAAAACACCAAAACCCAAAGTGAGGAAACCACGGCCAAATACCGAAATACAGAAACAAATGATTAAGTCAAGAATTAGAACCATAACATTGGCTAAGAGGTGTACTAAACCTCACTAAAAGCAAGGCATTGTAATTAATCAGTTACCAAACCATGGATATATTTATTTAGCACCGACATAACAACAAGGCACAAGATGCATTAAAATGTTTCACTTGACCGCACTTGTGTACTTTAAATAATAAAGTATAAATGTACAGCCGTATAACTGAAAGACCTGCGGCGGACTGTAAAATCAACCCTTTAAGCGCCAAAGTTTCAATATTGCGTTTATTGAGCCACAACTGCAAATATAATCCCTCATGAAGTTACTACTTTACACCAGAAGATAGTAGTGGCGTGTAACTTTAATCCGAGCAACACGTTTGTGTGTTTCTACTGACATTTTCAGAGTTTATAGTTTGAAAACTAAAATCAGGTGTGCTGAAGCAGAGACGTGGAAAACATGGGTGGGCTCTGAGGACCAGACGTGGGGAGCACTTTTGGAGTTATGTGAGAATTGGGTGTGGCACTGTTGACCTACTGTTAGAGGTTTTACCCCAACAAATGGGGCAACTCTTCACCAGCTGCATCAGTGGAGTTGTTGATTAAAAGCGTACACACCAGGGTCATTGCTGTAAACGTTTGAAGCTAGCTACAATGAGCATTCGCAGCTTTTGATAAAAACTGTTAGAGAAGGTTAAAGTCCCATTAGTCCTCACACACCGGTGAAATTCATCTTCACATCTGACCCATGCCCGAGGGCAGCGGCGAGCTGCAGCTGCTCTCAGGAACCACTTGGTGGTTTAAACCCCCCAATCCGACACCCTTAAAGCCGAGTGTCAAGCAGGGAGGCATTGGGTCCCATTTATAACGTCTTTGGTAGGACCTGACCGGGATTTGAACCCTGATCTCCCAGTTCCAGGGCGGACACTTCCACTAAAAAGACGCATTCGAAGGAATATGATATGTTGGTTTGTAGATGCAAGACTTGTGGACTAACTGGAGGAAATTAATTTGGTTTACCGTAAATCCTCTAATACAGGCCTGGGCCTGTATTCGACTCAAGCTCATCAAGCTCCAGGCCTTTATTGGAAGGAGGGCCGGAATTAGAGGCAGGCCTCTATTTCTATTTGAGCAAAATGAACTAATGGTTCGCTGGAGTTTTTGACAATTAATATTGCGCCCACATTTTCTAAGTTAAACACATTTCTTTTAACAACGGTAGTTTCTGCTTCAGCACTCTCTCTCCCCTCCCCCTGCATAGCGGCCGCAAACTCACTGATGCGCCTGCAGCCTTTCAGAGTTCCTGCTGCTCTAAACATTAAAATAATTATTTCATTTTCTGTTCCTCACTTCTGATTACATTCAATGGTGTCTGTTTGTTGCAACCACCAGGTACAAAAACTAACTTGTTTTTATTTGACTATTTTTCTGTCCTGTCTGTTTATTATCTTCCTGCATCTCCTCTCAATCCTAAAGAGAAACTGCTACCTGGGTTCATATATATTCACCTCATGAGTTACCTTTGAACTGCAGTTCTAAAAGATCTACCGACCGCAAAAACAGCGGAGTGCTCGCTGCTTGGTGGCCGCATCAGTGATCGGTGCGTTGGAGGACAAGGTGATGCGCCCCGCTCCACAGCAGCGAAACGCATCAGGCGCAAATAAAAGACAGAAAACATTAAAGGAAATGAACCGACATGAACGATCGCGTGTCAGTACCTATGGTCTGGCAGAGCGCGTTGCGCCCCCCCCGAGCGCAGGAGCTTGTCACCTGCTGATAGCAGGCTGCTGTCTTTTCCGAGGGCTGCATCTTGCCGGTCATTATCACGTGACAGCGACTAGTCGACGACAGGCATAAAAAGTCACTATAGTGAAGTCGACTAGTTCATACAACCCCTATTGCTCCCCAGTGTTCTGCAGCGCACGTTCTATTTGAACTTGATATCAAATTTTCGCCTCCTCTTCGTCTCCGCACGGTTAAAGTTACCCTCGTGGTCTATCACTGGCAAATCAAAAGTGAGACGATGACACAACCGCCCCCCGTACTTGCTTGTTACCACATTCCACCTGGCCACAATAAGAGACCGGCCATTATTCACCTCCGCCGACACCGGCCAAAATTGGAGACCCGGCCTTTAATTGAATACCGACCTGTATTAGAGGATTTGCAGTATTTTTTTATTTTATCTTTATTTATCCATTAAGGTGACGATGTGACAAAGAGGCAGCAGCACCTGACACTAGGGCTGTCGCGGTTGAGGAATTCTCCCTGCGGTGATTCAGGGTGGCTTAATATTGCGGTGTGCGATATTATTGCAGTACTATCTAAACATAATGTTTACACATTTAAAAAAGGTTAAAAATTGCCGTGCCTTCTTTTATAACACTTTACTGAATGCAGATCAGATCGCAGTAACGTTTGTTTCACCGACAGTCGGAGTCCGACTGAACTTAAAAACAACAAAATTCAGGAGAAGGTTAAACTTTTAAATGCAAATTTGGCTGCAGCATCTAACAAATAAGAAACAAGTCCCCATTTTGTTTAGTTGTTTAAAATCAAGCATAAAAAATTACATGTACCGGGCGCGGGGCACTATCATTTCACTTTCACTTTCACACACACGAATGACGGTGATTTATAGCTCGGTCAGGTCCTTGTTACCCACAAGGAAAACCAGGATGATAACTATATACGCTTTGAGAGAGGATCTGAGAGGGGTGACAACATTTGCAGCACTGAAAACCCTCTCGGATGGTGCGCTCGTTACACTAACGCACACATACTTGCGTGCGACTGCCGAGCAAAGGGAATCTCTCCCGGTTGTTGCTCCACCATGTCAGGGGGGTTCTTTAGGGTGGATGCATTCCTCCTGCAGGTAGCGAGTGAGCTCCAGCTCGGCTCAAACTCTCTTCGGGACGGTTGCAGAAGCAGTGCTTGTCCGGGACTTCAGCAGGTCTCCGAGCGTTTATTTATTTATTTATTTTTTGCCGCTGGTGGCAGCTCTGTGCCGGCCAAGGACTCTGGCTGTGCAGCAGTTGACGTACTGAAAACCAAAGTGCTCCCAAAGGAGCGAAGTAACGTTTCGTTTTGATACCAGTGCAGCCATCCTTCTCAACATGCATCATTGAGTTGAACCAAGTTCAGTAATCGCGGTGGCCCATGATGCAGCGCGGTGGGTTTCTTCATATTGCGATATTTCATTTTTGTGGTTACCGTGACAGCCCTACCTGACACGTAGCTAGCTTTACACCAAAGAACAACAGATGGATAAGATAAACACAAATAAGATAAAACAGTAAGACTTAAAGACAAAGGACTGTTCTCGTATACAATATGTTCGAGCAATCAAAACAGACTGAAGACAGTGTTTAAGTACTCAGAAGCAGGAACATTGATCAGAAACTATTGATTAGAGGTGTGAATCTTCACTTGTCTCCCGATTCGATTCGATTACGATTATGGGGTCAACGATTCAATTCGATTCGATATCCCGATGCATCACGATGCATCACGATTATTTCATATTGATTTGTTTTCATCGATAAATAGAAGATGTCAGATAATTGCTTTTTTTTAAATCTAAAACGTAATTGACACAACCTGCCATCCCTCAAAAGCTCTCCATTCACAACAGGTTAGGACAAAACATTTAAACATTTAAGAAGATTTAACAAAATAAAACATCTGTTTCCTCATTCAGCACCACGCCTCAGGCTGAGAAAAACACGCTTTGTAAAAACTCACAAAATCTAAAAAAGTACTGAAAACCTACAGGACACATAATGTAATAATAAAATACATAATGGGTTCATATATGAGTATTTAATGTCTCTGAGCAGCTCTAGAGTCAAATATTTATGCCACAGTTGAAGGGTGTCAGAAATAACACCAAATGAAATGTTTGACTTAATTTCATTTGAACCCAGTGGTTCATTTCTGAAATGTTGGAGAATGAATCAAGTTCTGTTTGATGCAGAAAATAAAACACAAAAAAAAATTCTACACTTCCAATAATATTTAAGATGTGTGTTTTATTCTTCCTGATAATAACACCAGCAGAAGGCTGTGGGCTGGATTAGGATTAAATTACCCAGCTGATGGATCTCCTTCACTAACCAGCTAACTACAAACCTTTCCACTAACCTGTCCTGTGTGACCCTCACCATGTGACCCTCATGTCCATGCTGTCTCTGGAGGAGCAGATAGGAGACAAGACCTCCTGTAACCTAAAATGAACCAAAGCTTCCTCCCAGTTTCTTCTTTAAGCTGAAATTAACATCAGTTTATCATCATGAAACAAAAGAATAAAGTGGAACAAGAACTTCTATCTTCTATTTCTCTCTTCTTTTAACTTCTCCGTGTCTGTAAATAAAAGAGACAGACGATCATGCTGCAGCCGCGGTCACTGACCCCGCCCCCTCCCAAGACCGGATTACAACAAGCAGTCTGACTGAGCGCTTCCAGGAGAAATAATAATGAAATTATGAAAATAATAACGCGTGTTTGGAGGAGCGTCCTCCGATCGCGCGCGCGCGCGTCTCTCTCTCTCTCTCTCTCTCTCTCTCTCTCTCTCTCTCTCTCTCTCTCTCTCTCTCTCTCTCTCTCTCTCTCTCTCTCTCTCTCTCATCTCTCTCTCTCTCTCTCTCTCTCTCTCTCTCTCTCTCTCTCTCTCTCTCTCTCTCTCTCTCTCTCTCTCTCTCTCTCTCTCTCTCTCTCTCTCTCTCTCTCTCTCTCTCTCTCTCTCTCTCTCTCTCTCTCTCTCTCTCTCTCTCTCTCTCTCTCTCTCTCCTCTCTCTCTCACTCTCTCTCTCTCTCTCTCTCTCTCTCTCTCTCTCTCTCTCTCTCTCTCTCTCTCTCTCTCTCTCTCTCTCTCTCTCTCTCTCTCTCTCTCTCTCTCTCTCTCTCTCTCTCTCTCTCTCTCTCTCTCTCTCTCTCTCTCTCTCTCTCTCTCTCTCTCTCTCTCTCTCTCTCTCTCTCGCTGATCGAGCGAGCAGCACGACAACCCGCTCAATTAACATAATTCACGGCCCAAATCCAACAGAACCGGTCGTGGCTGATTCGGTTCGGTTTGGTCTTGGGTGACAACTCTAGCGCTCAGCCTGCAATACCACATTAAGGCGGAGGTAAATGTGGAGGACGCTCACTCTGACAGATTTGGTTGCTGCGCTGGTGCCGCGTTAAAAAAACAAAACTACATTCCACTATAATCGATTATGGCGTACTCTTCTACGATGCAGAATCGTTTATGTCCGCATCCCGATGCATCGATTATTTGATTATTTTCCTCAGCTCTACTATTGATCTCAATGAATTATTGAAGGCAGATAATGGAATGTAGGCAGTGAGCTTCAGTGATTTTCGCAGCTCATTCCAGTCGCTGGAAGCTGCAAAATGGAATGAGGAGCGGCCAAAGGAGGTGCGAGCTTTGGGAATAACCACAGAGATGAAGTTTCTGGGAAATAAATGACGCTGGTTGTTGGAAGAGATGAGTAATGAGGGAACAAATGACGGGTTCTACCAATTATTGTTTTGTATTTAATTACTAATTAGACCCTTGTGAATGTAAAAATGCTATTTTGTTCGAGATGGTTCTATTCTGTCATTGATGAGGTATGGAACAGTGAGTTGGTTATTATTTAGCGCCCCTGAGTGGTTTGACAAAAGAGTTTATTGTGTCTAAAGTTATGACTGTATCAACGATTCCAAGACTGAACTGATCCTGTTTAATCCAGTCAGATCTAGCCCATTCCAAACCCCAGAGCTTTCATCTGTTTCTCACAATCTAAAAACCGTTGAGACAAACCTGGGTGTAAAGATGGATTCATCTCTTAGGATGGACGCCCAGGTCAATGCCACCGTAAAATCCTGGTTGTTTTTTCAACTCCGCCGTCTGTCCAAGTTAAGAGCAGTTTTATCAAGGAGAAATTTGGAATCAGTTGTTCATGGTTTCATCACATCTAGGCTCGACTATTCGAACGCAATATTGCTGGGTGTCAATAAGTCAACCCTTGCCAGACTTCAACTCATCCAAAACGCTGCGGCTAGATTCCTCACACGTACTGACAGGCGCCAGCACATTACTCCGGTTCTAAAATCCCTTCATTGGCTGCCCGTCACTTTCAGGGTCCAATATAAAATATTGCTTTTTGTTTTCAAATCCCTCCATGGTCTTGCCCCCGTGTGCCTCAGGTCCTCCAGCCTGTTGCTCCTCGAGGAACCAAAAGCGTGTTATAAATCATGCGGACAAAGAGCTTTCTCTGCTGCCGGTCCTAAAATGTGGAACGAACTTCCAGCCGCAGTTCGACTGGCATCCTCCTTGGCAGTTTTTAAGTCTAGACTGAAGACACACTGTTTTACCCTTGCTTTTAACAGTTAGCTGTTATTTTGGTTTTTACTACTCCTATTTTATCAACCATTGTAAGGTTTTTATCGGTACTTTTTTATTGGCTTGTTTCTTATTTGTTGACTGTATTTTATTGCTCTGTTTTATGTTTTTATCTCTGTTATTTGTGCGACTAATCAGCACTTTGGTCGGCCGTATGGCTGTGTTTTTAAAGTGCTATATAAATAAAGGTGGTATGGGTATGGTGTGTAGCAAAAAATAGCTGATTTGACCCAGAAGAATGTACTTTCATCATTCACACACTTTTACACGCTGATGGTGATGAGCTACGCTTGGGTGGGGCGTGCTGACAGAGGAGAGGCTGCCGAGCACTGGTGCCACCCGTCCCTCTAGCCACCACCAGCAGGCAGGGTTAGACGTCTTGCCCAAGAACACATCAGCAGAATTCGCTGCCGGGATCAATCCTACAACCTTCAGATTACTGGACAACCCGCTCTACCTCCTAAGCTACTGGTGTCCTACAATAACCGCTCATCATATGTAAAACAACACCGGTTTACTTGTCAAGTCACCTGTTGTAAATGCTTGTATTTTTTAATATTAGCATCAAGTTTTTTTTTTTCCAATATTGTGCAGCTCTAAGACAATTTTAATGATTTATATAAATATAGGATACTTAAGATGACTAAATGTGCTTTCACCTGGTGGGAATGTTTTCTGCAGGGTTCTGGGGGCTGGCTGGATCAGAGGGGGACAGCGATGAGGAGCCCTGCTGACGACAAAACTCCTGAAACTCTGTCATGATAATTTTGCTGCTGTTGGTGTTTCCATGCAGCAGGGGGAGCAGCTGAGCCAGTACTGTGGAAGTAAAATAGAAATGTTTTCACCATAATGCTCAGAAAATAACACTTAATGTGGTTTATTACAATCTATAACTATTGTTATGTCACAAACGATTAATTCTTCAGAATATTTCTTAGCTAAAATGTGGTGAATTCAATGTCCTCTAGCACTCAAATTTACTCTGACTTTGTGCTTTTTGCAAAGTCAGTTAACCAATATGGTTCTAATAAAATAAACCAGACTATGAACATTAGAAATGTTTGTCGTCGTCGTCTTCCTTCGCTTATCCGGGTCCGGGTCGCGGGGGCAGCATCCCAACTAGGGAGCTCCAGACCGTCCTCTCCCCGGCCTTGTCCACCAGCTCCTCCGGCAGGACCTCAAGGCGTTCCCGGACCAGATTGGAGATGTAACCTCTCCAACGTGTCCTGGGTCAACCCGGGGGCCTCCTGCCGGCAGGACATGCCCAAAACACCTCCCCGGGGAGGCGTCCAGGAGGCATCCTGACCAAACCACCTCAACTGGCTCCTTTCGATCCGGAGGAGCAGCGGTTCTACTCCGAGTCCCTCCCGAATGTCCGAGCTCCTCACCCTATCTCTAAGGCTGAGCCCGGCCACCCTACGGAGGAAACTCATTTCGGCCGCTTGTATCTGCGATCTCGTTCTTTCGGTCATTACCCAAAGCTCATGACCATAGGTGTGGATTGGAACGTAGATCGACCGGTAAATCTGGCTTTCTGGCTCAGCTCCCTCTTCACCACGACAGATCGGCTCAGCGTCCGCATCACTGCAGACGCTGATCCAATCCGCCTGTGGATCTCCCGATCCCTCCTACTCTCACTCGTGAACAAGACCCCGAGATACTTAAAACTCCTCCACTTGAGGTAGGACCTCTCTCCCAACCTGGAGTTGGCAAGCCACCCTTTTCCGGTCGAGAACCGTGTTTGCAGAACCAGAAACAACCTGAAGCTTTTGGTAAGTGGAAAAACTTAAATCATGCACACTTACATTGCTCTTCTCTTTGTCTCCTTTGCGATAGTTCCCCTGGGCTGGGGCTGTTGTCAGGTGTGGGTAAAGGCTCAACCATACACACGGCGTACTGCTGGAAGTGTTCCAAACAAAGTCCGTCTTCCTCCCAAACGCAGCCCCTCACCACCGGTTCCAGCACCTTCGTCTTCTTGCTGGATATCAGCTCATCCCACTCCCTGGCTTTCAGTTTCTGTCTCAGTTTTTGCTTTTCGAGGTCTCCACCCTCCTGAGGGATTAGATATTGGTGAACAGGGGTGTTTAGCGTAAACACTAAACTTGCCAACTGCAAGAGGTCATTTTAAATAATCATAAGGCATTTTGTATACATGGTTAAACGTTCAAAGGTTACTCAAGCCTATTTGTAAAAAAATAAATAAATAAAGGTTCAATCAGTGTCAAAGATTTATATTGTTAATGTGCTAGGTCTAAAGAAGTTTACTCTGCCCTGTTATATCGTCTAAACACAGAGGGAGTGACACAGAAGCTGCACTTCTAAACAGCCTTCTTATTTATGACACAGGACAGAAAATGACTCAGGCCTAGTCCACACGTAGCCGGTTTTTTTTTAAAACGAATATCCGCCCCTCCAAAAACTTACATCCACACCACCTCGTTTTAAAAAAAACTGTCCACTCGTACACGGATAAATACGTTGTTAAGGACATGCCAGACCTGTAGGCGGCAGTACTTCCCCCGTTCTTAACCTCGTCCTTCGTCTGTGGTCTTCTGCAAGGAGCAGTAATTCCGCTTGCAAAAACAAACAAGCAAAAAGCGCTTGGACAATTGATAAAGCGAGCGCAGCTCTGAGAGCATCCATGCTGTCGGCTAGTGTAAACACAGGTCGCACACGTGATGTCAGCAGTTTTTGTCGCGGAAAGTGACGTTGCGGACCTTAAAACTCCGGTTTTGTCCGTCCACACGCAGACACCCAAAACGGAGAAAACTCAGATCTTCACTTTGGCCGGAGTTTTTAAAAAGATCAGTTTTCGTGTGAAAAAACTCCGTTTTCGTGTGGATGACAGGCCAAAACGTAGAAAATTATCTACGTTTTGGCAGATCCCCGGCTACGTGTGGACAGAGATTAAACCCCGTCTTCTTATCCTCACAGGACTAGTGTGGCGCTAGAATCTTTCAAGGGTGAATATGAAACAAAATGGTAGGCACTGCCACTGTATACATGCAAAGAAAAAATCCATTTAAAATTCGCAATAACTATTATAATGCTGTCAATTATGATGACGATTACATTGCTCTACATTTGGATGTTGATCTTCCTGAACAAGCACAAACAAGTCTTGTGGCAAGTCTGGTACATTTCCTTCCTCACTCCAACAAGAAACCATTGTTCTCGACCCAAACCAGTTTGGGTTTAAAGTGGCACCTTCACCCAGACCTAGCCTGGCTGGCCAGACTCGTCTTCCGTTTAATTCTACACAGAGAACTAGTCTGGTTACTCACAGGCAGAGAAGCACATGAGGGGCGGGACTAGCCAGCTCAAAAATAACCAATCGGAAAAAAGAAAGCAGAAATGCTGACTGTACCATGCAACGCTGTAGTTTTTTTTTAGCTGTAGTCAACTATGGCGTCTAGTGACGACGCAAACATCTTTCTTTAGAACAAAGGCTTTAAACTCTTCTACTTGTGGTTTGAAAGATGTGTCCAAGTCGCTTACAACAGAGGAAAGAGCTGCAGCCTTTGTTGTTTATGAGAAACTGAGCATTGTGGTGTGTGATGTACGCTGCTCAGTGCTAATTGGCTCGGTTTGAACTCTCAGGGGGCGGGGTTATTTGAATTGGAGTTCCCAGTCCCATGCGTCTTTATGGGAAGCATGGGGCTGGCTGGCTGGCCAGGCTAATCAAAACCACTCTGATGTGACAGAGCTACAGCCAAGTCCTCCATACTTTTCCTGTTTGACTTAACTGCCACGGTATCATCTCTAGCAAAGGCATCACAGGGAGAGTGCACTTCTTAATCCGATGTATTATGGCCCAGTACTGGGATGTCTTCTCTTTGGCATTTACAACACCTCACAAGGTCAGAGAATCCCATCACATGGCATCTCCTATCACTGCTGTGCGGACGATTCACAGCTCTCGTCATTAAAGTTAAAAGTTTATCAGTTGCCACGTGCGGTGAATTGTCCTCCGCATCTGACCCATCCCCTGGGGGAGCGGTGAGCTGCAAACACGGCCAAACCCCCCAATCCAACCCCTTAAAGCTGAGTGTCAAGCAGGGAGGCATTGGGTCCCATTTTGTATGACCCGACCGGATTTGAACTCAGATCTCCCAGTCGCAGGGCAGACGCTCTTCCGTTAGGCCACTGAGCTGGTTTTTATGTCCACCTGCTGTCCACACCGCCTCAGAATATATTTTGCTACGTTGACACTGCTAGCCTTGATACTCAGTTTTGATGTTTTTGTTCTGCGTAAATCTGATTTTGTTTTGTGCGGCTGTTCACATTACGGCTGAAAAGTGACACCAAACTCTCTCCTGTGTGAAGGCTTCATGGCCCCAAAGCGACCCGCATGCGCAGAAGACAAGAAGTCACCCGCCGTGGAGCCAGAACCAGGAGAGGCGGAGTTGTGATGTGAAAGCCTGCACCGACTTATCCACTCCACAGGATCAGGATCCCACCCCAGGTCTCCTGTTTTGGGCTGGAAACTGTTATTTACTCCTTATCCTCGCCATCTTCCCAAATTATTATTAACCGAAAAAGTTTCAGTATTACGTTTATTTACGGAGAACCCCGCCTCCCCTCCCTTCACGGAGATAGAGGCCAGCGGCACCTCCCGCTCCCATTCTCACGCTCGCCTGTATTTCCAAAACTTGACAGGATGTCCAGGAAGACTCCTGAAATCATCTGTCAGCGCTTCTCAGGAACGTCAACACAATACGCTCACCTCCGCTGACTGAGTGACGGAGGAGACGGATTTAATGCAACATGACCGTTCAGACTGCAGCCACGTTCAAAAACAGATATGTATCAGAACCAGTACCACATATAAAAGTGACCTGGGTCAGAAAAATAAAAAAATAAAAAAATCTGATGTGTGCTGTTCAGACGTCATAAAAAAAGTCACATTTGGGTGGCATGTGGGGGTGGGAATGGGATTTGATGCGCTTTTGCCTGCAGTGTGAATGTAGCCTAGTATCTCCATCAACATGGATTAGGGCCCACCATCTCGTGGGTGTGACTGGCCTCAAATCAGATAAAAGAGCACGTCACCCATTTGTTCACTGAGCTCCATTGACTCCCCTCATCCACCCACAGTAAAATCAAGTCACTGACGATAGCCGATAGTGTCCTGAGCAGAACAGCTCCCATCTACATGAATCCTCATCACCCCTTACTGACTACGTTTACATGCAGCCAGTATCGGGTTATGATCGGGTTAAGGTCGGCATTCGGGTTTCTGAGTTGATCAGAATAACCCGTTTACAAGCATAAATAGAAAGACTTACCCCTAACATGCATAACCTGATTTAAATGCGGACGTTGGGGTAGCGTCAGGGCGTGTGGACTACGTCCAGACGCAATATGCATCATTTCCGGTTCTTCTTGTTCCGGTATCGGTGAAAACAACAACATGCTTCCCAGTTCGGAAGAGATAGCGACCGCGTTTGTTTGCGCTTTAGTTTCCTCGTCACTCCAAAAGTGTGGTGCTGTGCCGCGACTCGTCATGTTGCTCCCAACTTGTTGTTTACTTCCGGTGTTCTGGCGCGTACAAGACGTCTCGCTACTCAAAAGACCAAGATTCCTTGCGAACAGAGCATGCGCAGAACACACGCTGTGATGGGGATATCCCGATATGCGTTTACACGACCAAGCATTCGGGTTAGAAAAGGGTTACCCCAGGTGTAGTAACCAGGTTTTTAAAAACCCGGTTATGAGCATATCCGGGTTTTTGGCGGTGTTTACATGGACCTGCGGAACCGGGTTATTGTGAATATTCGGGTTAGAAAAGGGTTACTGGCTGCATGTAAACACACTCAGTGATGTTCTTGCATTGACTTTGACTGCAGTGTTCCATCCTCAGTTGTAAGTCAGTTTGGATAAAAGCTTCTGCCAAACACATGAACAAGTTGAACATGTACACACACATGGGTGAGGCATTTGTTTGCAACATAAAAAAATATATATACTGATAATATGGCTTCTTCCAGTGTATTTTAACCAGTAACACTACTGGGATTAAACACTGGGATGTGATTTGAGGGTTTTGTCAAACACTGGACAGAACTTGGTTGTGCCTCAGGTTTCTCTGAGCTCCAGGTGACACCAGTAACTGCAGGTCTGATTGCTTAGAAAGTCAAAAACAAACAAATGAATGGCATGTCAGAACAGTTTCCTACAAGTCAGATATAGGACTGTTTGTTTGCACATCACTTGCTTTGGTAATGAAACATATTTAAAGGTGGAATGTGGAACACGAACACCAAAGTGACATCTAGTGTGGGGAGGACGTAGTTGCAACAACGGAACGAGGTTTTCAGCCGTCGGGATTCCAGGTTCGTACCTCTCCCTCCAGTGCACCTTCATCATCCGAGAGGTAGCCATGAGGAACAAAAAAGCCATCATCATCGTCGTCTTCATCGTCCCCTCCTTCCTCTTCATCCTCCTGAAAATAACAGAAAATCAAAAGCTGAATAAACATAATACAAGTGATTTTTTTATTAATACAAGATACTCGGATTAGAATCCGTTGAGTTCCTTCATGGAGGTTCCACATTCAGCTGCGTTTAGCATCAGCTGACCAGATATTTTCCGTATTAACCTGTTATTTCTAAATGATGACAGAAAAATCAGAAGGCTGTCCATTATTTTGGCAGATTGGAATTCCCACCCCGACTCATGTAGGTGCGCACATTTAAACATTACGCACAGAGAACACTGCAGAGGTAACACAATCAATCAATCAAGAAAAGATTTCCCATCAGAGCATCTGAGCATTAACCAGACTTGGACACCATTCTCAACACATCTCACGGTTGACAGAGAGCTGAAGCTCAAAGCTTATTTGTGACAACGGGTCACAGGCCCGCCCTGAAGAACCACAAGGTTCTGGTGCACAAGAACCAAGAGTGCATGCAGGCGGATATACTCCAGCGAGTGATTCCAGGTCTGGAAACCCTTTATCCAGAAAGTCTCGCCAACTTCTGGTTATTGCAGTTGCAGAAATGTTCCTCGATTTTCAAACTTTGGCTGAAGGAGCTTCTGCTGCTCCTGTCTCGAGTGTAGAAGCAGAGTGCAGGTTCATCCGGAACATACAAACAGCCAAAAGTACAGAAGCTCTTCACTACGGCCTCTTCAGTAATCCCGCTTTCAACATTTGGTTTCACACAAGCAGGTGCACAGTTCGGGTTGCCGCTGAGCAGAAGGAAGGTGAGAGAGACGGTCCGTTTGGTCTACAGCAGGTGAAATGTCCCTACTTTAAGTGAAATTGTTTGATTATAACAGTAATGTTACTGGGGCACTCGAGTCAGCTGGTTTGCACTAAATATTTAATTTAAAATGAATGAAAAGTAAATAGTATTGAATGTTTATTTATTACTATTTTAGGAATGAATGTCCATCCATCCATTTTGTGAACCCGCTTGTCCACGTAGGGTCGTGGGGGGGCTGGTGCCCATCTCCAGCGGTCAATGGGCAATCAGGCAGGGTGCACCCTGGACAGAGAGCGAGTCCATCGCAAGGCAACACAGAGACACACACACACACGCGCGCACACACACACACACCTAAGGACAATTTGGACAGACCAATCAACCCAACAGTCATGTTTTTGGACGGTGGGAGGAAGCCGGAGTACCCGGTGAGAACCCACGCATGCACAGGGAGAACATGCTAACTCCATGTAGAAAGATCCCAGGCTGGGAATCGAACCCGGGACCTTCTTGCTGCAAGGCAACAGCTCAAACCACTGCGCCACTGCGCAGCCTAGAAATGACAGTGACAGGATAAAACAAATCGATGACGGTTTGTTTTTTTAAACCCCGGTGGTCAAAACGATGGACAACAAACTCGTGTAGTGCAAGCTCTGTTACATATAATCCTCCCAACACCAGAGAGCTCGCTCCCTTCTTCATTAAAGCAGATGCTCGATTTAAATGAAGTTAAACCACAAAACATTTGTTCTCATCTTCTAATAAAACTCACCCCTTCACTATGAGACAAGGACTCTCCTGGTTCCTCTTCCTCCCATTCTTCATCGCTGTCCACCTCATAGTCAAGGGAACCCTGCAGTGGCAGAAAACAAGTGCTTCCATCACAAACTATAAAAACGACATACCCACCAAGAGGTAAGTCAGTGTAAAACATTTAATATATAAAAAGTTTATGAAAATACATAAAATCCTTCAACACCAATGGCTAATTAGTGAACAGGTATCACCTGAGGAAAACAACAATACCTTGTCTTGTCTCAAAGGGCACCGAGGTGAGATATGTGAACTCTTCTTTCTCCAGGTGCCCCAGTATGCTGGACGGTAGTTTTCATGGAACTGAAGCAGCTTCATCGGTCCATAGCGCTTACGGTCCGGTATACCATCTGGTTTGGGCCTTTCCACCAGTAAACAGTCACTAAAGTAATGAAGATTAGGAATGTGCAGTAGTAGTGAACACGGTGATTCATGTTCATGACTTCCAGTTTCAGGCTTTTTTTAAAGGGACATTATGGAAGTCTGACAGCCAAAACATGTATAGAAATAATAAATATCTTCTTCATACATTCTCCTGCAATGCCCTGGTCCTGTAGAATGAGCCCTGGCATTTTTACTGTGATTGCCTGTTTTTCTGTAAAATCACAGAAAAAGAGAGAAGCTCGGGTCGAGCAAGCTGCTTCATGCGTGTTCACGCTCAGGCATCGCCCGTAGCATTTGCTATCAGAGAGCCAGTCCATCGCAGGGCATAAACATTTATAATGCCAGTGAACTTTTAGAGTTAGCAGGCACTGCTCCCGCTAGCTTGCTGCTTTTCTGTCTCAGACTTTAAGCGGTATTCTATGTATAAAGTGTGTGCAGACAATGCTTGCTGAAAAGTTGTTTTCTAGATTAATAAACGTCGCTAGGTTATAATTCTGCCATAAAATTTGCATAAAGCTTTGAGGTTTTTGATTTTTAGGGGGAAGTTTGTGTTTAGAAAGCCTTTTGGCGATGACTGACGGGTTGTTTTTCCTGTTTGTGTGGAGATGGGCCAACTTAATTTTAGTTTCAGAGTAATAACAAAAGCAAGTCAGCCAGCTTATGTGCATGCAGAACATGTAAAGGGTGCTTTACGTTGACCCTTTATAGCCGAGAGTGGGCGTGTAGGAGGTGGGATGTGATCCCGAAACACCCGAGCTCCTGCGTGGGATTTATAAAAAGAAGAACTGTGTGCAGCCTGCTGAGTTTTATAGGATGGGACATTTCTGTATTACGCCGGGGACACACCGGCCGCGGAAGCGCCGCGAAGCGAATCGCTCACGAAATTCGGCCGCTGCTCGCCGCTCCTCAGTTCAGATCAGACGAGCCCCAGTCGAGGCGCGCCTCGACTCAGCTGTAGTTTTTCTTTTAAACACTCTGTGTCCTCCATTTCCTCTGCCTTTTCTCAGCTCTTTTCCTCTACGTTTGAGTGTTTGTACGTGTGTGTGTGTGTGTGTGTGTGTGTGTGTGTGTGTGTGTGTGTGTGTGTGTGAACCTATGGTATGAGTTGTTTCTGCCAGTTGAATCTCTTGGAGCCCGCTCCAATTCTGCAGCCGTATCCTAGCAGTTTCTTCCGACATGGGTACGTAAATAATCATGTTTTTCGGGGGTCGTGCAGCTCCTTGTGTTTCTCAACTTCCATAATTAATTTAAAGTCATCCATCTTAACTGCTTGCCTCAGACTTTCTGCCTCTCTGTCCTGTTTGCTCCAGAAAAAAGACACCCAAAACCACACCCCCTTCACGTGGTCACACACGCACACAAGTTCGATGTGTGTGTATGTGTGTGTGTGTATTCTTGTGGTTTTTCTGCAGTGTCTGATTACGAACACATTTGACTATTGCAGAATTTAATTTTGAAATGCTTTATTTTGTTAACTTCACCGGCCTGCCTCTTATGTCTACGTTTGACTTCCTGCCAGAATTGACGCGATTCACTCGCGGCTCGCGGAAAAAATAGAGCCGACGCCGAAACGATCGCTGCACGGCGCAGGGCTGGAGCGCCGGCGCGAAGCGATTCGCGGCACTTTGGCAGCTCATGTGGTCTATCGAATAGCTTAACAAGGGCGTCGAATGAAGGCGGCCCCATTTTCGCGGCACTTCCGCGGCCGGTGTGTCCCCGGCGTGACTACATTTTTGTCAAGGATCCTGTGTAAAGTTTATAAATGAGACCCTTGGGCCTTTGGAAAAAAAAAGAGCAGTCTCACCTGAGAGAGTCCGTCCTTTTGGGTTTGGTGGGTCCGGATTGTCTGGGTTTTTGCCTGATCCAGTCTTTCAGTCCATTCGAGTTCTCAGCAGGATTTACCAAACACCGGTCCAGCTCCTCCAGAGCAGACTCTTCACACTGGACCCGACACAGCGGTGCCAGAGACATGTTCTCTTTGATCTCAAAGGGAGCAAACTTCCCACAGGCAGCTGCAAGCGTCTGAAATGGATAAGGAACAAAACATAAAGCAGATTAAATTTACTCAGGTTATAATCCAAACAGAGAAAAATAAAATGAGTGTTTCAGATTAAGCAGCTTCAAGATGATATTCCATAAAACACATAAGATCATTAAATATGAGCTTTAAAATACACTCCAATGATGAACATCATCTAAGAAACTACAACATTAGAAAGAGTTTTCATTTGTTTGACGAGGGTAGGATCTGCTAACCTTTGGAGCCTGTTGGACTTTAGGTTTCTGTAGAAATCGTGTAATTTCTGCTTTCTCAGCTTTGAGGCGCTGTGAACAGAATAAAGCGTTTGATGTAAAAACGATTAAGTTCAAACGTTAAGAAGTGAAACACAAAGACGTACGTCTTTCTCTTCTTTTAACCGTTTCTCCTCTTCCTTCAGTTTCTTCTCCTCCTCTTTCTTCCGTTTTTCTTCGAGCTTGGCCCTGACGCAAAGATTTTAGACAAATTAGCACAAAAGTAAATAAATGCTTAAATAATTTCCAAAGTGGAACTGTTTGAGACATAACATCTGTTGAACTCCGAAGTCTTGCATTACTCACTCTAACTTGGATTTCCGCAGCTCCTCTTTTGCTTTTAACCTTTCTGCCTTTTCTTTCTCCTCCTTCTCCTTCTTCTCCCGTTTTTCCCTCTCTCGTTCCTGCTTCAGCTTGCGAGCTTCTTCTTTCTTTTTCTCTTTAGCAGCTTTGGCTTCTTCCTTCTGGCGCTCCTTCTCCTGGATCAGTCGAAGCCTTTCCTCTTGTTCTTGTAAACTCTGCGGTCAGAAAAGTTTTGCTCTTTTATTTACTGATACTGTTACAAGACATAAAATGCAACAAAAACAATGTTTAAAAGCTGCATCTATGGACTTTTATTAACATTTACCTTCATTTTTTAAATGTTTGTGGTATGTAAAAAATAAGAATCACCTTCAGAGAGCGTCTTTTGACGGTTTTCTGATCTGATGATACTTTAGGTGTGGTCTTTGGCTCCTATGGGGAAAAACAAAACAGATGCAACATTTTCTGGCAACAAAAATAAAATTAATTTCATCAACAGGATTTCAAAGATGGAGAATATTAACGATGCTGTAATTAGGGATGCACCGATACGATACTGGTATCGTTGCAGATACCGATACGATACTGGTATCGGTGTCGGTACAGATACCGATACGATACTCGTATCAGTAAAAGATAACCGATACCAGGAACCGATACCAATGCAGTTGCTTGAAAATGGCTTCACTGTAACTTGTCATTTCTGTTCACCTAATATTTTAGTTTTGTGATGATTTTTATTCATATATTTTAATTTTTATCTACCTCACAGTCTCTTCCTGTTGAAAGCAGAGAAGAAAAGAAAATCTATATTCCAAATCATTGCATTTTTTTGTGTGGTAGAAGTATCGGTATCGGTAATTGGTATCGGCGAGTACTCAGATCCAAGTATCGGTATGGTATCGGTTTGGAAAAAAGTGGTATCGTTGCATCCCTAGCTGTAATCCACCTATAAATATCATGTTTCAAGTGTGTACTAATGAAAGTATTTAGACATCTTAAACAGACGTAACTCTCTTCAAACTAGTCTAAATATTTTTGTAATACTAAGTGTGAGTAGGCACAAAGCAGGAAGTGGGTGCAGGCACATACTTTAGGTGTGGTGGTTGGTGTAGCATCACCAGGCTTGCTCCTTTCTGGTGAGCTTTCACACGTGGAGCTGACCGATGAGGGCGACTGTGAGGGCTTGTTTCCCAGACTAGACACATTTTCAGACTCATCCTGCTCCTCTGACTCGCTGTCAGAATCCTGTGTTGTGTTGAGCTGCGACACAGACGCTGCGTGATCTTTTTCTTCCACCTTCTTTGCTTCGTTGTCTGTAATGACAACACAGTCCACAGTGTGTGTTTTAGCGGTGGTATCAACACTGCTGAGCTTTCCTGAACCGCCCTTTCTGTCTTTGCAGCGACTCTTGTCTTTAGTTGGAGGACAAGACGAGGTAGGAAGAGTGGACACGAGGCACTTGATGGGGGAAGAGCTCAGGTCTTCAGTCAGATCAATAACTAGACTCTCTTCTGATGATTTGGGGAGTTTGCAGCTCAGGAAGCTGTCCAGCGGGCCACGACCGTTAACCAATGGTGGCCTGCTGCGTTCAGAAAGAGGAGACGACTCATTTTCATTGGGCCCGTCTGAGACTTCGGGCCCAGGGCAGGCATGGCTACAGGGGCGCTTGGGCGGCTGGTTCTCTTTAGGTTCAGCGTTCAGGCGCTTGAAAGGGAGACGAGCTGCAGACAGAAAACAAACATGTAAGAATACCTTTAAAAGTAAAAGTTAGCTGTGGCGTTTTCTCAATATATCAATCTAACAGCTAAACACATCTCACCTCATTTGTTTTCAAATAAATATTCAACTAAACTTGTCCCAAAGCTTTCATTGGGAGGAAAAAACATCATTGGTGTCAAGAAAATTGATATTTTTCTTGCTTTTGCTCCATAAACCTTTACAAACAATTTGTACAATCGTTATATCCACAAATATTTAAGCAGTAAATAAACTCACGCTTTATACCCGATCATGGTCATATGAGATTCTATCTTATAAATAACAAGTTTTTACAATAACTCAAATTCTAACTCGCAATTTGGTTTTCTTTTACCAGAAAGTTGTGATCTGTAAACCAGGGCTGCTGCTCTGAGGTTTTTATAACCGTGTCTGATGCGTTTGTTCTTCAAAACTGATAAACGTAAAAAAAGATCTAACCTTTAAGAACAAAGAGTTAAAGTTCCTAAACTTTCAGAGTTTAATCTCCGGTCTGGAATCACGCTGAGACAAACACAACGGAGTGGAGCTTATTTTAGACACGTAGCTGTTGTGTATCTGCAAATTAGACTGGGTTGGAGATGAGATGTAAAAAAATATTTGGAAAAACCTAAATAAAAAATACATCCGATTTTTTATGTGCATGCATTTTTATTTATTTGGTACAAACTATAAATATAAAAAACAAATTATTCATTTATTATTAATAACATGTAACATTTTTGAGCACTTAATGTCACATTATTAATAAAACCTGACAGGCGCTTTATCTGGTGTGTGAGTCGGTTGCTCTTCAAACTTTTATTAATGTAGAAACACTTTGTCCAATTATTAACAGCTAATAATTAATTTATGTAGCCACTTAAAGATTATATGTTCACCATCAAAACTAGAGATAACCGATATGGGTTTTTCTAACGCCAATGTCGATAGGCAGAGGTCAGGGTCAGCCGATAAGTGCTGCTGATTCTTTTCGGCTAATTTTCATGGCTGACTTGAGATTTTTCACATGATCAAAATGACACAAATAACAACGGCAGATGTGAGTAATATTTCTGAACCTGAATCAGTTTTTGAACACTGAGTTGAACTAACTGTGGAATATTTGTTTTGTGTACTCCTCAGTATTAAAATAAAACATTTAACCAAAGTTTATAAAACAAAGATTCAGGAACATAAATATACAGATGTGCCAACTTTAAATTGGATTTACTAAAGAGATATATCAGCCGATGCCAATGTATAAGGTGAATATGGGCCTGATAGTATCGGTTTACCCCTAATCACAACTCACCGTTATGTGTTCAGACATATCCATACTTGTTTATGTTTATTCGCGTTTATGTTTATTTATTTAGCAGACGCTTTTATCCAAAGCGACTTACAATTTATAACCTATAGGGCATGCTGTGATCTGTGGGGGAAACCGGAGTACCCGGAGGAAACCCACGCATGCATGGGGAGAACATGCAACTCCATGCAGAAAGGCCGCAGCCGAGTTTCGAACCTGCGACCTTCGTGCTGCGAGGCAACGGTGCTAACAACTGCACCACCATGCAGCCTACTTGGTCAGTCTCATCCATAAGTTTCCTATCACCCGTCACAATCTCTAGGTTACTGTCAAAGATTGCATAATTGACCCCAAACTGTTTTATTCTTGACTAATAGATTTAAAACTAAATAAAATAGTGTAATTTATATATGTGCATCATTTTTATGAACGTGGGTGTTTTATTTTTTCTTCAGTGTTTGATCTTATGTAAATAATACATATTTACCTTGAATTAGTTTCTTGCTGGCATTATTACTTGACTTACAATCCATTCCTGAAAAGAGCAAAAACAATTTTTTAAAATACGATTATATGCAAAGTTGAAATACATTACAGCTTATTAAAGATGATGACTTATTAGGCTAAAGGCGCCAAGTCTCAACTGTAAAAGCTAAAAGGATTCAAGCTTTTCATTTTAAAAATACCACAAAACTGATCAGACTTCAGTAAAACTCATCAAACTAAACACAATTACAATACCTGTGAATCTATTCGTTAACATCCTTGTAAAAATATAGTAATGGATTAATCATGGATGAACAATATGTTTGTGTAGTTTTGGCATTACTACCATAAGCAAAGCTAAACTGAAGGGTGCAGCTGTGCAGCCCTGGTTCTCTGTGCCGTCGCTGTGCTAACAGTAAAGTATCCCTGCTGGTGCAGCTCGGCTCGCTCTCCCGCCAACTACTGTGTCAACCGGTACTGCAGGCCCGAGTCTACAGGGCCAACACCTCCGGTCTGTCAGGCAGAGATTTGGTTGCCTTCTACGGACGACAGAAAACGTAGGAAATAAGAAAAACGGCTGCAATGTGACAGAATGATGGCAAACGCAAAACCACTGGCGTGTGTGTGACAGTCCGAGGACTAGAGGAGCTTTGACAGCTCCAATATAAAAGTAGCTTTCATGTTAGGTGTTAGCTTTGAGACCCTGATGCATGCTACATACCTAGCTGTGTCTAATCAAACTAGCCAGCAACTTTGAAGGACAATCCGTGAGCTACCAAAGCATTTGTCATTGTAGCATAGCAAGACTTGGTCGATGTGTAACCAGTCTATGGCAAATGCGACAAAGTTCCCACAACTGGTGTTTGGTCAAATAATAACATCCATTCTGTGAGACCGCTAGCTTTACGCAGAAGTTGTGCTGTAACGTTTATAAATTGGCATTTGGTGCAAAAACATAATTCAGTACAGAAGATCGGTGAAAGCTCTGCTGTGAAAAGGTTAGCGTTGACAAATTTGAAATTGTACAACATATATATATTTAATCGTTGATGCAATTTACTTATACTCCATACAAACAAAATAGCACAGCAGTTCTTCCACTATGACATTACTAAAACTTCGAGTAATCGATCATAATGTCGGTACACTGCCATGATGATTTTTACCTCTTCTGCGGGGAGTCGATGCTGACAAATGTCCGTCCACAGATGCGTTTTCGGCTGCCAACATCCCAACTACTAACCCGGGGCTTTTCACGATCACGGTGTTAACGACAAAAACAACTTTAACACACCGCTAGATATAATGTTAACACAAACCAGTGCCTTTTAATATTACAAAACTATTGTGTCCTTATTTAAATGGCCTGCAATCTCATTTTATAACAGATAAAACATAGCTAAAACTCTTTCCGTGCCTCCGAAGTGGTCCCTTGGTCTACCCCGACGTCTGCCTCGCGCTCCAGAGTCGGAATTGGCGGGAGCCGGCTGCTTCCATCAATAACCTTCGCTGATTGGTCTAAAACGTTCCTCTGGTTCTGCAGGGTATGCTCGATTTGAACAACGGGTCTGCACGTTTGTGTCAACCTTCACGTTATGTGAAGCTTTTTGAACTTTAGAGAAAGAAAGGTTGAAAATACTTTATGATTTATATATTTTCCTCAATAATAAAGCCTGTAACGTTTTAGAAACAAGTGATCTATTTAATAAATTGCACTTTAAGCGCATACTATCCACCCGGTAATGGGACACTCTGTACCACGAAACGAAACGTAGCAGATTCATTTCTAAAGACACTCCTTCCAGTTGATGTTTCAGGATCAGTGATTGGGTGATAGGATTGACTTTTTTTTTTTACAATCTTTATTTAATACAACTTCAAAAACAAAAAAGCACATACCACAAATAATACCAACAAAAAGCAACAATAAACACAACAAAGCAAATGGAAAAAAGTTTAAATCATGTCAGGGATTTTAAAATTCAATAAATGTGGACAAAAACAAGCAGATAAAACTTTAGAAGTCATCTGCCTTGTGTTGGCCCTGAAGAGAACCCAATCATGAAAACTGTTCTGTTAAAAGAGGGCGTGTTATATATATATATATATATATATATATATATATATATATATATATATATATATATATATATATATATATATATATATATATATATAAACTTAAGCACATTGAATTTCAAACCAAGGATATTTCAGTTTATGTTATCCTCAAATTTTGATTGATAATAATTTCATATGAAACGTGTTGACTAGATTTTAATGATTCGTTATTGTGAACCTGACTCAAGATGGCGCCAAATCCACATGTTGACCATTCTCAATTGAATAAGCTCATTTTCATTTTAACATACTTTTTTTATTTTTAAGTACACCGCAAACATTAGCATGTTTGTGTCAGTGAGAAAGTTGTCTTATGTCAAATACTGCATACAAGCGTTGCATACAAGCGTTTTAATTATATAAAATTTGCAACCATAATTCACACACTAGGAAGTGGGCGGGATACATTTGAACTGAGTCGTACCAATCGGTCATAGATGGACGTCGTTTATCATGTTGTCACGCGTTTTCCGTTATCGCTCAAGCCTTTGCAGGGATATGTAGTTTTTCAGAAGGGCAAATGCGTTAAGTACTGACGTTAAAAAACTACAAAGCCGTCAGTTGTGGCGCATGCGTGAAACGTTTGAAGGGGGTCGAAAAAGCGCATCCTGGATTATCCATTCCTGCGGTTGTCGACGGAAACGTGAGTAAAATAAACCTTGTCCCGGTAAAACGGGCTTATTTTCTTAATATCTAAGATTACATCTTTGTCAGCAGCATTAATCAGACACAGCATAGACGAGATAAAACGAGATAGTTGGCGTATTTCTGTTTCAGCTGGACCACTGGACCGTTCAACAACGCGATTTAGCTAACTTTGTACTGCATGATTTGTTCCCAATGATTGGGACAATATTACATGTAACTTGTACCATGTTTTGTAACTTTTAACTTTTGTTTAGCAGCATGTAATTCGCGTTTTGCAACACGTAACTTTCATTTTGTAGCATGTCATTTCGGTACGTAACATGTAGCTTTAATTTTGTAACTTGCAGAAAAAAATCAATGTACAAGGTTCAAATCACAGTTACTAAACAAGTCTACAAGACGAGGCTAAAGTTGGCTTCCGATTCCAGCTTCCGATTCGGGGAAACGGTTAAAGGGCCATTACACCCAATTTTTCTCTACTCTGACCATCTTTAATCTACTCTAGCTCAAAAACTACAACAGCCACACTATTCAAACCTGTTCTAGATTATTCGACAATAATAGCAGATTGCATACAACCTTGTTTGGGATTTGTGAAATCTTTTCCTGATTTGTGAAACTTCAACAAAGCCAGATTTATGCATTTTTTTCAGCATCTGGCCAACGATGGAACAGCTGTAGCTCAAGAAGTACAGCCCCTACACTATTCAAACCTGTTCTACATTATTCTACTATAATAGCAGATCAAATAAAACACAGTGTGAGATTTGTGAAACCTTTCCCTGATTTGTGAAACTTCAACAAAGCCTTAAAAAATCGGTCTGCGCATGCCCCATAGTAGCACATGTCAACGAGCAAGGATAGGCCGACTATCTTGAAAATACGCCTCCAAAACAATTCCTCCGCTCCTCCATTGCTAACGGCGTAGTCTTTTTCTCCCGGGCCGGCTCTCGGAATGGAACTCCGTCATATTACCGTAATGTATCGTACACCTCTGAAAAGCGCGGAGTGTCACCTTTCTGAAACCAGGGCTGAGGCAGTGGAAAAGAATGAGCATGGAGAGATGGATGAGAGGTAAGACAATCGGAGTCACTGAAAGATATCTGCAAGAAAAAGATTTTTTTGTATGTCTTTGGGAATGGAGAAATATATTGGGCCATTCCCATCTGTACCGGGTCGGCCCGGGCCGGGTTGCCCCAGTCGGCCCCAGCCTGGCCCGGTTGATTCCACACATCCTTTCCTTAAGTCCATGTGGGCTGATTCTACCCACCAATCAGAGGCTTGCTCTAATGGAAGGTGTGAATTTGCTGTCAGCAGTGGGTGTGTTGGTCCTGGTCGGCCTGAAGCAGACCCCCTCGAGAAGAGGGCTGAGAATGAGCCTTGGTTGGCCCGGAAAAATACCAGGCCACCCAGATATGTAAACACCCTACCCAGCCCGGGCCGACCCGGTACAGATGGGAATGGCCCATAAAATACCTGAAAAATTCTTTTTTTTTTTTTTTTTTGCAGCGAAAAAGCGGAACTTTTCATGAAACTGAAAACAGAAATGGAGAGCTGTTCAATTATCTGAAGTTCTCTGGAATGTGGAGAATAAAAAAGTTTGAGGTTGAATATTTATGCTTGTTTTTAATTAAGACACGCAAACATCAAAGTAATTTTTGCATAGTTGTGGCTGTTGTGTAACTGTGCTACATGTCACCGAAAAAATACAATCTGTGTTGAAGTTTCACAAGTCAGGGAAAGGTTTCACAAATCCCACACTGTGTTTTATTTGATCTGCTATTATAGTAGAATATTCTAGAACAGGTTTGAATAGTGTGGCTGTTGTAGTTTTTGAGCTAGAGCAGATTAAATATGGTCAGAGTAGAGAAAAATTGGGTGTAATGGCCCTGTAGCCGTTTCCCGAATCGGAAGCTGGAATCGAAAGCTAACTTCAGCCTCGTGTCTAACAAGTGTCTACAAGTACAAAACATTTTGTCCCAGTTCTACCTTGCTTCCAAAAGAACCAATTAATGGCCTTGTCTTATCAGCCAATCATGTGTCACGAATTTCTGTCATTCTCGCTGTGGAGTGAGATGTGTGTTTTGAGAGTTGTGAGTTTTTAAGCCAAACTTGTACATTGATTTTTTTTCTGTAAGTTACAAAATGAAAGCTTCATGTTAGGTACCAAAGTTACGTGTTACAAAACAAAAGTTATATGCAACAAAACGAGAATTACCTGTTACAAAATGAGATTAAAGTTACAAGTTACTAGACTTGGCACAAGTTACATGTAATATTGTCCCAAATCCTAGTTCCATACTATTAGACATCTAATTTAAAATGCCACAACAGGTTAAACATAAACCCACGTAAATTATGTTTTTGCGTGTTAAAATTAAAGATTTTTACCAAAGTTGTAACATGCACAAAAGAGAGATATGAGGATTATAGAAGCATTTTTAATTTAATGAAAATGTACAGCTTCCTAGCTTAGGAGACGGTTTGATCAAGTCATTTAGCTCAAATTAGTGTTGCAAGTGTTCTGTAGTTCATCATTCAATCTGTCAAAGATTAAAAATGGGGACTGTTGCAAAGGGCAAAATAGCACAGAACGTTTCTGTTTCAAAATAAGGTTTTAAGTATGACAATTTATTTTGGTTGTAAATTCTGTTTTCTAGGAAGAAAGTTGGAAATCAGGATGACAGGTTTGTCACTTAATCCTTAATTCTTCCATAGATATGTTTTTCCTTCTGCACACATACAGATATTTAGTACATAATCCCAACCTCATAATTAGAATTTGGATGATCAGCATGTTAAATAAGGCTTTAGGATCTCTTTTAACTCCTTCCTTCATGTTTTAGATAAGGTGAACAACTTTCCTCCGCTGCCCAAGTTTCTAAGGATAAAGCCATGCTTTTACCAGAATATTGAAGAGGAAATTCCTGCACCTCATCAGCAGCTGGTCCGCAGAGTTTACATGCTTTGGATGAGTATGTTCTTTTGCGTACATTTTCGCAAGAAACAGGATTCGTTTCACAATCTTTGAGTTAAAAATCACTAACCACAACTCTGTACGCCTTCTCTGCTTTTGTTTGCAGTGTATTCAGGCACACTGTTCTTAAATGTGATCTCCTGTATTGCATGGTGGGCAGGAGGTGGACAGGCCACAAACTTTGGTTTCTCCCTGCTCTGGCTCTTACTCTTTAGTCCCTGTAGTTACACGTGTTGGTTCAGACCACTCTACAAAGCTTTCAGGTGAGTAAAGTGTTTGCAAATCCCATAAAAAATGTCATTTTTGTACAACTTCAGAAGGTTAATTAGGATGCTTTCCGGGGATACACATCGTGAAGCATCCATGGATGCTTCAGCAGCTACAATATGTGAGAAATTCAATGGAGAAACTTTAAAGGGACATTATGGAAGTTTGACAGCCAAAACATGTATAGAAATAATAAATGTCTTCTTCATACATTCTCCTGCAATGCCCTGGTCCTGTAGAATGAGTCCTGGCATTTTTACTTTGATTGCCTATTTTTCTGTAAAATCACAGAAAAAGAGAGCTGCTCGGGTCGAGCAGGCTCCTTCATGCACGTTCACGCTCAGGCATAGCCCTCCGAACCGTGATATAAATGGTACAGATACAGAACATGCCACTGGCGCTTTAGCTCGTCTAGTTAGACTTTGGGCTTTCGTGCAGAAGTCCCAGGTTCGATTCTGGATGTGAACATAGTTGTTTTAGAGTTTCCTTTTTACATTAATGGTATTTTTTTACAGTAAGATGCCCAAATGTTTATTTGAGACTCGCCGGACGGCATTGAATTCACAGATAAAAAAGATGTGGGTTCCACTTTCATTTTGGAACAATTTTTCAAGCAAGGGAAGGGAATGATCTGAGCATGCAGGAGGACTGACCCATCATAAACCTTTGTCGGCTGTGCTGAAGAGAAAGGTACAGAACCAAATTATTTAATTAATTAGCTGTGCGTTCTCCTGTCCTCTGTCCTCCGGTCCACACACACACACACACACACACACACACACACACACACACACACACACACACACACACACACATGGGACTGTCTCAGCTGTTATTTTCATTAAGGAGTGTGCACGTACAGCATGCGCGCCTCGTGCACGAGCCTCCTATTGAAGCTGCCGTTGCGCTTTTGGCCTGAGGGGACAATCGCGAGCATAAAAATTCAAGACTCCGTAAAGTCCCTTTAACATGTACTAATACACAAATAAAACATGTATGTGACAAATCTAAACATGATGCTGGAAAAAGTAACATGACTGAAGGACGGCAATACATATTTGTATTTATTTGTATTTGTATTTATTTTTCCGTCATAACAAATACATATAAAACACATGAAAAGGAAAATAATTATCTAATAAAGAACATAATAATAATTATCACAGGTACAAATTCCTCTTGTAAATTAAACAGTTTCTTTAGATATAATTTATGAACGAAAAGGTATAGCCTGAAGTTAACTTATTTAAGCCTACCCATTAACTCATTACAAAAAATCAACATTGTCATAAATATCAAAAGTAAATAAATATAAACAATACAGTTATTACATGCATCATCCTAATTTCAACAAAATCAATCAAGAGGTATAAACGTGTGACAAAACTAATTTTAGTGCACTTGGTAATTACGTAAGGCGTTATTTTTAAAACTCTTTTTGAATATTTTCAACGAGCATTAATTTTTTCATCTATCCTCGAGGCTATTCCATAAACTCACTCCTCTTACTGAGATGCATCTTTGTTTTTTTATTGGTTCTAATGTTCTTTTTTTTTTTTTATCCCAGTTCCTCTCAGACTTTATCCTCCTTCCCTTTGTTCAAACATCCTTTGGAGATAAGGTGGAAGTTGAGCCTGATATACTACAACCAGTGTATGCAGGTCAATAATATTTTAGAATTATTAAATGGATAAAGATAGAATTTGTTGGAGCAAAATAGTTAGCATGGGAAATTATTCGAACTACCTTTTTTTGAAGTAAATATATAGGATAAGTATTTGCTCTAATTATTTCACCATATTTCAACACCATAGCTCGGATATGGTAAAATAAATGAGTTATAGAGTATCTGAAGGGATTTAATATTTAAAACAAATCTCATTCTACTCGTATGTAAATATATAACCTTATAAAGGCTTTTAGTTGCATTGAAGTCTGCAATCTTGTCAAATATTCTATGCAGGAGAATCATCATCAATGTTGCAGAGCAAATTGAGTCAGTGGTAGAGTCGTGTTGCTGTTATCCAATCCAAGGCGAAAAATCTAAATATCAGTAAATAAGAGTCAAAATCGTGCTGTCTGACCCTCACCTCTGATCTGGCTCACTTGTAGTTCCTGAAACAATGTTGTCATTAAATACAAAATTATTTATTTTTGTGACCCAGATAAAATACAAAGTATTTTGTTTCTGTATTTTGCTGCATAAGTGGTGAAACAGGTCACCTACGTGACTGGTGTAGGTCTGATCAGAAAATATCTTGTTGGTAGTTTTATACGTGAGAATGAAGGTTTCACAGATTAACCAGTTGGTCTATTAACCACAAGGTGAAATATTGTAGAGGATTTTAAAGACTTCACCAACAGTACAAATGCTGCATGGGCTGCATGGTGGTGCAGTTGTTAGCACTGTTGCCTCACAGCACGAAGGTCGCAGGTTCGAAACTCGGCTGCGGCCTTTCTGCGTGGAGTTGCGTGTTCTCTCCGTGCATGCGTGGGTTTCCTCCGGGTACTCCGGTTTCCCCCACAGATCACAACATGCCCTATAGGTTATAAATTGTAAGTCGCTTTGGATAAAAGCGTCTGCTAAATAAATAAACATAAATAAAAAAAATTTGCTGGACCTCCATGCGGGGGGCTCATCTCCGCTCATGCGACCCAAGCTCGAACCGAGTAAGCCCAACAGGTCGAGTCAGATTTGGGCCGATTAAATATTTGGCCAGAGTGAACTGTGCTTGGACAGCACAGGGAGAGAGGCTGGCCACGCAATCTGAGGCCGCGCCTCAAACCAGACACATTGGAAGCATTATTATTACTCCATGGTGTGTGAGGTAAAGAAGTGCTAAAAACATGTGATGATGTTGGGCAAGCCGGTTTTGGGTTTCAAGTCTATCGTGTCATTTCAGTTAGCTTTCAGGGGTGTAGGCCTGTTTTCATGTCTGCTTAAGACAAAAATGTATAAAATAATTTAAAAGTGTGCTGAATGATCAATCATCACATATCACAGCTGGCCCCTCTCAAACGTTAGTCATTTCACCAGACTCCTCATTCTCTCTTGTTTCTGAACCTCATTCTGTTATTTTTGTCACTAATTCACAACAACAGAAATAATTATTACTACAAAAATTAAGAACCACCCAGCATTTCTACTTCTTCCTTTATTCAGCTTTTTCCACTGTCTTTTTTTTAGGGCTGACAGCTCCTTCAACTTCATGGCCTTCTTCTTCATCTTTTTCCTTCAGTGTGTCTTGACCCTCATCCAGGCTTTAGGCATCTCGGGTTGGGGAGCATGGTAAGTTTCAGCTGGACCAGCAAGAGAACGCTGTAACCATTAAAGCATGACTGGTTTTATCAAAATGGGTCACAAGGACTTTTATCAACTGATTGGAGGACAATATGCTTTTTAGTCACCACATCAGTGGTATAATAAAATAAAGCTGACAACCCAACATTGTGCTATTGCTGATTTCAGTTGTGCTTTGTTGAGTTGTTAGCCGCTGGTCGGGTTTTGTTGTACCCTCATGCTGATGTTGAATGTAAACATGGGAGGAAGAACATGGTGTTAAGGTCTGGGGTGAGTGTCTTCAGCTGTGAGTTTTACTTTTAGTTTTATTTAACCATAGACACACCTAACACATTATAAACAACACGTAAGGTTGAACACGACTGCGTGGTTTCATTTACCAGTGACCATTTACAATTAGCTGAACACCACTGAATATCTGATCATATTTGGAAAAACCATAACAAACTTAAATCCAATCATGTTGGAAATGCAAACAATCGGACCAAAAGATTTATGTAGTTTAACAGAAAACATCTGAGGGGGTAAAGCTGACCTAAAACTGAAATATTTCTGTTTTACGTTGGCCTGCCTTAATCAACTATGTATTGTTTTGAATTTGGACAATAACCACTCAAACCCTTGGAAACTCTCGGACATTTTCTTGTTTTCCATGGAAACATAAAATTAGTCTGAGTGGGAACTGTGCCGAATGAATGGGACAAGCAGACATCAGAATTAAATGTGAAGACTAATAGGAATAATTAACATTTTCTTCAAACATTACTTTAATGAAGGGGGAAAAAACATATTTTTATATTTGAGATTTTTTGATTTTAAGAACAGGAAAAACTAAGTAACACAATTACATCCATGTATTCTGAATACAAAGGTTAGATATCCCAACCCCAAAACCACCCACCCAAGCAGCAAAAGCCCCTTCAGTCCAACAGGTAGAGAAAAAAAGAAAATAGGGAAGGCAGGTGTCTTCATACTACAGTGATGTAAATAAAAAGTGTGAGTGTGTATCTCTCAATTAAATCTCTGACTGGAACCTCTTAAAATGTAGCAGATTTTTTCCAGTTTCAGAGAGGAAAATTGTCTCTAATCCATCTAAACATATGTGGGGTTCGTTCCTTTCACAAAAGTTACCTCAAACATCTCGCAAGTAGGGAGAAGAAAGCTATGACAATCCAAATCTCTTTGAAATGAATGGGATCCATTTGTCAGGCCAAAGATGGTACATAATAGGTGTGTTTCCATTACTGGAACTTCAGGGTAAATTTACAGGAACGTCCCGACGTGCGCCTGTCTCCACTTGACCAGGCCAGCCAGGGTAGGTACTTGGTACGGCCCGGTGGAGTAGCTGAGTGGAAGTTTTGGTTAATTCACGTGGATTAGTTCTAACTCCGTAGGAAATTACATCAGCAGACGCCGTTCTAAACACACGGCGTTAGTCAAATTAGAAGAGTTGAATTCTCCCACAAAGATGTAATTCACAGGGCTTTGTTGTCTCACAGAGCACTGTAAAAAAAGAAGGTTTTTATGGTCAGTGAACGCTACATTTTACAATGTGCAGCAGTCCTTGTCCTCTGAATAGATGAAATTATGCCATACTTCTGCAGAATTAAACTTTCTACGTTATTGTGGACCCTTTTTGGCACTGATTCAATCACCAGATTCAATACATCCCTCATTGCCAAAGCAGTCACGATACGCTGATGTCTTTAAAGTCCTGAAAAGGCTGAATTTGAATGGAGACGCAAGAGCTAAGGGGACCGGAACATCTAATCTCTCGGTCAATTTCCCCATCCCATAATTTACCCTGAAGTTCCAGCAATGGAAACACGCCTAATGGGTTAGATGGGTTATGAACACCACATAGTATAAAGTAGCTCTGGAAAATGTCTATCCAGAATGACCTAAGTCACAGGCAGGACCAGAACATGTGTACAAGGTCAGGAAGGGTCAACCGGACAAGCTTTGGCCAAACTGGCCCTAGTCCAGCGGACTCTTAAAATTATCTTTGATGTCAGGATAGGGAGAAAAGGTTGTTGACATAATCTGATGGCAGATTTGAAAAAAAAAGAAATGTTCTTTTAAGCAAAATGTCTTACTTGGAGAGCGCTGTAGAAATGAGATTTTGGTAGACTTGAATATTTGAGTGAATGAGCAAATTTGACTGAGGATGAAGAGATGCCATTATTTCAGATTTTAAAAGCAGAGTCCAATATGGAAGGAGTAAATTGGTGTTTATCAACACTTGGAAAATGAGTTTACATCATTAAGTTAAACTGTTTCCTGAACCGCATCCTGATGGTCTTCTGTGGATGTTAGCAACTTTTCCTTATATACCAGTGTTAGCAGCTCACTAGCCTCTGGGTCTGGGTGTTCAGTTAGCTTAGCTGAGCTAGATTTGCATCCTTAAGTTCATCAGTCTGTTCCTTCTTCAAACACTATTTGCAGTAATTCCAGCCTAACATACCTCAGGCCTTCTAGCTATCCGTTTTTAAGGTAATCTGATCTCCCACAAGCTGCATTGGCTTATTAGAGTGTTCTCCGTACAGTCAAGTACAATAAAGTTATCAAGTTCAGAAACAGTTTGGAAGTAGATAAGATGACAATATTAGATTGAGAGGGAACAAAACATCCAAAAGCAATGGTGTCAAATTAAAGAAAAACCTTGGAGCACCATTATTTTGAGTGTTTGGCCCTAAAAGAATTACTCATTAGGCTCAAGTGAGCTTCAGTGTTTACTGGTAACATCTGTGGTAGGGTAAGGTTAACCCTCTCAGGCTCAAAATAAGTTTTGATAAAAGGATGAACAACTAAGTCCTTCAGGGGTACTTCTGAGTAAAAAAAATGCTCATGAAATACGTATGTGGAGTAACCAGGTAGGTAGGTTTTAACGTTGCAAATCTGCAACGCCTGCCTCCAGAGGGTTAAAGCTGCCTTGTGGTTTTTATTTTTGTCCATTTTCTTTTTCCTATTTTCAAAAATGTAACTTTTAAACTTTTGAAGAAATTTTGTTCATAATATCCTCTTTTAATCCCCATAATTAATTTAAATATTGATTTAAACATGTTTCCCTCTAATGCAGGGGTGTCAAATATGCGGCCCGCGGGCCGGATCCGGCCCGCAAGTGGGTTAAATCCGGTCCGTGAGATGGTTGTGTAAACTTTATTTTCATACTTTACAATGTAGAGTGAAAATAAACGTATCATTGTGAGCAAGTTTTCTCTCTAATGAGTATAAATGCAATAAAGCTGCGCTCAAGGCTCACACAGGAACTTGACTCACATCCTGAAGTTGGCCGCCACTCAGGATGTGACTTCTGATGTTGATGTGCTGGTGAAAGCTGAAAGATGTTGAGTAAAATGAGTCAAATATACTTTAAGTGCTGCATGAAACTGATCTAGCCATGTGATCTGTAAGCTCTTTGAATCACTAAGGACTGTTTTTTTATTTGTTGATTTTTTTTCTTCTTTTTTTCAAAATTTCAAGTACACTTCAGGTGTTGTACTTGTACTACACTGTCCTCAGGCTCCAGCCTTGTTTTATATTGATTGTATTAAAACAAAGAAAACAATCTGAAGTTTTTTTTTTATTTACCGGTCCGGCCCACCTGGGACTAGATTTCCCTCAATGTGGCCCTGAGCTAAAATGAGTTTGACACCCCTGGTCTAATGGTATTTAAAAATGTTTCATGTGAAGTAAATCATTTTAATTTATGCTTTCAGTAATGTCACCATTCACTTGTGGTTTTAACTCGTCACAACAAGTTAGATTATCAGTCAGCTGATTGTCACTACATCTCACTGCTTTAACTGCTCGGTTGTAATGTCGGATTGACCGTGTGATAAATCCACCTTGCTGAGTGTGCACTGTCTGATACACTAACTCGTACTACTCCCATCTCATTCTCACCAACACATGAAAGCGGCTGGATTGCCACAGTGACCTTTTTCAGCTACAATGTGGCCTCGGCTATAGTGATGCTAATTACAACCCTGCTCTTCACTGTGATGACTGTTTTAATGGCACTGGTTCTCATTAAGGTGAGTGCACACGTGAGCTAACAACATTTTCACTCGATTTGCTAATTTCCAGTTACCTGGAAACGGTCCCAAATACAGACTATGAGGGGTTTTTCGAGTGTCTTTTCATGCTGCAGGTGCACAGACTCTACCGAGGAGGCGGCGGTAGTATGCAGCGCGCTCAGGAAGAGTGGAACACTGGAATGTGGAAAAATGCATCGGCGAGGGAAACGGGGTTCAATGCTGTTGGTCAGACAGCCCAGGGTCCGAGTCTGCCTCAGTACGCTGCTGCCGTCCCGAGTTACCCTGACAACAGCCAGTGGTGATGACCAAGACCCTCCTCTAGGTGGAGACAGATGATGGCTTCCAAAGAGCACCTGAAAACACAATTCACCATAAATTACAAACTACAAGATGTTTTTCTTTCTTTGTTTTATTAGAAAAGGCTGACCGCTGTAAAAAGATTTCGATAAGAGTTTTATCACTAAAGCTTCCTGAAACTTCTCTTTAAATCCATTTGAACTTTGTTTACATAAAAAAATCAAATTCTCATTTATAATCAAATATGTATTTGTTTTAAAGGTTTAACCCACTGCAGATATGAGTTAAGAATGTGAAGGCTTGCGTTTAAGGAGCAGTGTAAAGAACGTGTGCCTTATGAACCTTTGATGGAATGGTTTTGTGTACTTTTATGTGTTGACGTAGCTGCATGCTACCTGTTGTAGTATGATGAATACTCGCTGCTTGTATCTGGACTTATTCCATGAACTTAAGTAGAACTCCAGTTTATTTTTGCTATTTTGTGCCTAACATTTCCATGCTTGCTTCTGCTTTCTTGCGATGGACCTTATTATTGCAGATTTTGCATGAAAGGACAGTGTCTTGTTTTACTTGCGCCTTAACAAAAGCTGCTTGTTTTGTTAAATGTTAAACTGGACTGACGCTTCAGGGAAAAGGCTCGCCTGTTTGGTTTTCTCACTGAGCACTGATCTGCCAAACACCAACCTCTTCATTATTTTTATGTTACAGAAAGTCAGAGAATTTGTGTTCAGCCTCTGCTGTTCCACAGTAACTCCGTTTTCAGAGGGCAGCATCTGCATGAGAGCATCTTATCAGCTGTTGCAAATGTTCTCAGCAACAGATCGACTGAACATGTTTAATGATTACTGTAAGCTTGCATGAAACTCCTGGGGGAATTTGGGTATTGAATTATTGTCATTTTTCTAATGAACTGACCTCCACCAGTGGTCACAAAAGACAATTGAGCCTATTCTTGTGTCTGTAGGTAACTAAACATGTTGAGCCTGCCAAATTTTGCTTCAAAGAAAGAAAACAGTGCGTGCCTCAAGGATTTATCTTTACAGAAGTGTCCTTCACGGCCAACTGCCAAATGAGATGTTTGAAAATTTCTGTGTTTGGTTAGTTAAAATCAAGTGGATGTTTAAGTAACCTTTAAATGTTGCAACATTTCAATAAATATTCGTATTCACACTGCAGACGACTTATTTGATCCAATTATGTTTTTAGTTGGATTGCAGTTTCCTTACCTACAAGTTAGTCCTATTTAGCACTCGGTGTTTCTTAAATTCAGGGTATCTGCAGGTTTAAGGGAGCCAAATTTAAGACTTTTTAAGACCTTTTTTAAGGCCATTTTGACCAAATTTAAGCAATTTTTTTTTTTTTTACTTTAAGCTATAATTTCCAGCTATCCCCTGGAACCGGTGCTAACCATGTTGCCAACATGGGATAAGCTATCTAGTTACCATTAAACTTTCACATGCCCACGGCGCAAGCTCCCACTAGCTTAACCAGCTAATGTGCTCATCTAAAAATAGGCCCCTTTCACAACCAACTGAATGTGTACGGTTCTGCTTACGCCAGCATCATACACAAACAAATGCTGAACACTAACTAGAAATTTATGAAAAATTTTATAAATAAGACCTTTGGAAACTGTATTTAAGGATTATTTGTCATTTTTAAGGATTTTTAAGGCCTTAAATTTGGAAAAGCAAATGTAAGACTTTTTAAGGACCCGCGGATACCCTGTGAATTACTGTTGTTGCAGAACGAGTAGGATTAAGTTATATTTCAACTAAGTAACTGTTTAGGGACAACTGGACCAACGTGTCCTTTTGTAGTAGGTTTCCTCCAAGCAGAGGGATTCTGTTGTCTGTTCAAATGTCTAAATTTTGTAAGCTTAAAAGAAACTTTGGGAAAATAAAAAGACAGATTGGGCTATTTGACAAACGCATGTGCAACCTTTTTGATTAGAAAAAAATAGTTGGCAAGGGAAACGGAAGCATTTCTGATATCCCATGCATCAGCAGAAATATGTTCTTATGCAGCAGCAGTAACATTCATCCTTTATTCTGACACCTTATTCTAGCTGGAATTGAATCATAGTTTTGCAGCTGCACGTTACTGTCCAGATGTTTGAACCTTTATGTGACAGTTCTGATTTTGAATCTTAATGAGCATGCAAGAAAAAGCATTCAGCTTTTGCACTGCAGTCAGATTTTTAGACCAATGTTCTTATCTTTGCATTTCACTCTTGGTTATTGCCTAGTTTAATGTAAAACTAAAAATCTACAGAAAACAGTTCAAGTTCTGTTTTTGTCTTTTTATCCAAACAGTTAAATTCATCGAGATGTTTCACTTTTATGTAAATTTCAAGTGATTAAAATAAAAAAAATCAACAGCCCAACATTTTATTTTATAGTGAAGAAGGCAGTGTTTTATTTTCCAACAACTGAAAGAAAATTATTCTGATTCACTGACAGAAATGCACACCCACACCTCTGATTCCCAACGTTTTATGTATTTTCCATAGAAAACTACATTATGCATTGATTTGAATTACAGCTGTGTATCCCAACAACAAAAAATGCCCCAGTAACAAGAGTTAATCCCTAAATGCTGATATAACACAAACTGGAGTAAAATGTTTTTTTTGTTTTTTTGTATAAGGGAATCCGAGGTATAACTGCTGCAGCTTATAACAAACAGGCATGTCCGTGATGAAACGCCAAAGCAGAACCTAAAACAAAAGCACAGGTTGTTGAAAGATGAGTGCTGTACTGATTAAACACCAGAACCTTTAATGAGGAGTTTAAACGCTTTAGTTTTTTTGTGATTATTTATTCAAGGCTTGGATCCCAGCTGTTTTAGCGTGATATAAAAAGTGAAGTCCCACAAATAAATAGTCACAAATATTGCTGTACATAATATACATGTAAGATATTCACAATTTATCATAGTACAAAAATATAGATATAAAAATCCATCGTCCACTGCTTTTTGGGTGGAAAAAATATCTTTCTCAGAGATTTTCAGCTGCCTGAAGAGAGCATGGAAATGTTACACGGTAAAGGAAATTTCCCAGGAAAACCAGTGCACTGATCAAACAAACCAAAAACCCTTAATAAGAAACCATGTTTCAGTAGAACACCTAAAGGACAGTGGCTATTGCACCGATGCAGACCTGAAGTCCGTGCCTCAGCAGGGTCAAATCTCTGACTCATCGTGTATGTACCCCAGACCGTCCAAACTTGAAAGGTTGGCCATGGGTGAGAAGTGGTTCCCGTTCCCTTTGAAGTCAACTGCAGTGTGATAATCATTGGTGCTGCAAAGTCTCCCTGACTCAGGCCCCGGGAGCTTTATCTCTGAAGTTCTGCTCTGGAAGTAGTCTCCTGACTGCTTTCTCTTCTCAACGTCTCTGGGGCGTTTTGTAAATTTAAAACACTTACAGTGCTCTTGGCTCCAGATCCAAAATATGATGCCAAGGAGGGAGAGGCATAGTAGGGACAGCAGTCCCACAGCCACCTCCAGTAGGCTCACCCTGCTCATGTCGTTTTGAGTCTCCGGGAGCGGCGGCTCCTTGCCGTCCCAACCCGGATCCCGAGTTGTACTCACAGTGAGAAACAAGGTTTTTGGGACCGTTGTTGTGCCAGGAGTGGTGCTCACAACCTCTTCTGGGTCAGAGAAGAGCTGTAGATGATAAGCCGCCATGGTCCGGTTGAACGTTCTGCCATTTATCTGCTCTAGCGAGTCACAGGCATACAAGCCGATGTCTGATTCACACGCGTTTAGGATGAGGAGGCCTCCGCTGTAGATGTAGTATTTGTCGGTAGAGGGAAGCGGTTGATCGGAGAATCTCCAGTGGACGTGTGCCAGGTTGGAGTGAAGTTGGCAAGGCAGTTGGATGTTGTTTCCTGGAACCAGGTTTAAGTCAACAACCGCTACTGGATCTATAAAAAAAAACGCAACACAAACCAGGTTAATCCAACATCACACTGCTGGCACTCGTCTTTCCAGTGAGGAATTTACCTGATGCAGGGCACTGGGACACATTTCCATCCTTCAGACTCTGTAATGCAGTATTTGAGGACAAACTGTAGACGGGGGCGCACTGTGCGGAGGACATGTCCCAGGCACAGTAAGGATCCCTGGACAAGATGCAGTCCACACAAGACCCGTACCGGCTGCAGTTACTGACTGGCATCTGAACAGCTCCAAATTCAGAACCAGCAAACAACTGGCCCTATGATTGTACACAGAACAAGAAATACACGCTTATAATAAAACAAACCATTTCATGTATCATTATTTAAACTTTTTTGAAAGACATTTTCCAAGAAAAACCTCAAATCACCACCAAATCAAAAAAGCTGCCTTAAACTAAATGCAGCTTGGCTCAACCCAAGCCCCCACAATGCGGCTCAAATAAATTGCAGTTCCACCCTCATCCACTGGGGGCTGGTGTCAGAAGCGAGCAAATCCTCATTGACTCCCATGTTAAAAATACCAATTTCACAGCAGAAATAAACATGTTTACAGCCAGGTACCAAAACATGTTTTTTGTTTAAATGATCTAGTTTACACTCATGACAACTCTGAGGGGGGTGAATTTTTTTCTCACTCTTCTGTTTAAGTGTATTAAAAGCCTAAAATTCTGTTTAATGACTAGCGCCGTGGAAAGGCCTCAGTAGAGCCTCGGTCTGGCTTGGAAACTGTTCTGGGATTTTGAGTCTCTGTGTTTGTGTTTTCTTTTTTGGATATTTGTTGTGCAATTGTTGGACAAAATGACTTGCTGTGGCATTAATTGCACTAATAGAGCGTCCAAGGAGTCTCCACTTCATTTTTTTTTTTGGTAAGTAAAATTATATTTATGTATTTTAGGTCACTGCTGAGCTGAGCTTAGATTTTAACATGTACTGTTTAACCATGAAATTTAAATGTAATAGGGTAAAACCCAGTGCATTTAACGTAATGCTGCACTTTAGAAAATGGGATGAAATATAACATGTTGGTGGAGCTGGGCTCCAACTATCGGCTTGTGGAGCTCTCGGGAGACCGATGTTTTCCACCCGGTTCTCCCCTCCCCGCAGCTCGGCGCATCTCTGTATGATCACGGCTTCTGTCTGCTGTGCGGCTGCCGGCTTGTGGAGCTCTCGGGAGACCTCTGTGTTCCACCCGGTTTTACCCAGCGGTCAGCCCGGCGTATCTCTGACTCAGAAGCTCTGGTGTTGTGCACAGTTAACTCCGGCTGTAGCTAGGTTGCTACCTCCGTTAGCTTAGCTCCCACCTCCGCGCTAGCTTTGGGTTAGCTTGTAGCTAGTTCGACCGGGTGTCGTCAGTTGATCCCAGCCTTACAGCCCCACCCTCAGCTCCACCTCTCTTCCCTTCTGTGGAATTGTCTGGGCTTGACGGAACCTGTGACACGGTCAAAATGGCGGTGGTGGCCACCTCCCATTTTATCACAAAAACTTGTTATTGGAGCCTATGGAAACCCATTGTCCAATATTTATATGTCGATGGTTCAACCTCAGATTCTGACTCACAGCTGGAAGCATTTCTTTTTATATAAGTTCAAGCATTCCTAAAACCTTTCTCACTTCTCACTCATAAATATGGTATTTGCTGAAACATTGACCTGTTTTCTCCAATAGTGAACACCTTGTATGCTTCTGATAAACTGCTGAATCCTGAAAAGATAAAGAATTACTGCAGCGGTGGGAATAAAAGCAGGCTGCAAATTTAGAGGCAGCAAATTTTAAAATCAGATTTAGCTGCTGATGTAAATGCAGCGAGTGCTAGAGAAGGAGCAAAGAGTCGTGTGATAAATGATAAAGACAAGGGTGTGAGTGGAACATGAAGGTGATGAATTATTTAAAAATACAACAGGATTTCTGTTTGAAAGAGCTAAAATCAAAGCAGTCTGGTTTAAGCCTCAGCACTGACTCTCAGCTTTCTGAGCATGGCCTTTTTTTAACCTGTCACTTCAACGTGGTAGAAAAAAACTACAAGTTAAACACAGTTGGGACTCAGATACATGCATGTGTGTCAAGTCTGTACAATATTTCCCCCTAATAGCTTTAGACATTATTTTCTACCACGAGTTTCTCATATCATTACCTGGATCATTTAAAGGGGACATATGACATTTTCTTATAGTTATAAAGTCGACACAACATGTTTATGAGTTCTTTGCACTAAATCCCTCTCGCATAGTGATTTCAGCAGTTTTAATATTGACAGAATGAGCCATTTCAGGTTTCAGTCACTTTAAGAACACAAGCTGAAGCTAAACACAGATGAACGAAACACCAGTGTAAAGCGCTTCAGAGTCCTCTGACCCTGAAAAGGGCTATAAGTGCAGGTCATTTATCTTCTCCATCTTTATCTCCACCTCCTGAGCTGAGCACCCACACAGAAAAATTGAGACATCATCCCTCTAAACCTGTCTGCATTTAAACTGCTTCTTATTCTCAACAAATGTAAGCAGGTGCTTTTGGAATAAGGAACTTAAAAGATCAAATTGTAGGTTAGAGCCTCCTTTAAACCAGTGTTTAGAGAAACAATAGGGACTCGTTTTAACTGCAACTTTATACACATACATACATTATTTAGGCTTTTGGAGTCATTTTTGTCAAAATAAATATTTTTCTGCCAAACCAGAAGTGGCATAGGTGAGAGATGCCCATCATCCTGTTCTGGAGCTCGGGACGAGCAGTTCTGAGCTCGATAAGACGGCGATCTGGGCTCCAGGAGCCCGCAAGTATTTTTAAAAACCCTGCCACGGGGCTCTGGAGGCTAGTCCCAACCTCTCTGGGCTGGTTCCAACGCTGATCTGGGCTCCAGGAGCCTGCAGGGTATTTTTAACAGCCTCCAGAGCAGGATGGGGGGCACGTTTAACTCCATCACATCGCTGGGATTGTAGTCCTCCGGTCTGAACTGCACACCACAAACGACTGCATTTTTCGTAGCTGAAGCAGAAGTGACAAACCGTCGTTTCAGCTGCACAAAACGCACCCAGAACTGGAAGATTGTGCCTTTTTTTTCTCATTTGGAAACCCCTGGACTCGATGTCTGGACACGCTGGAGTTTGTACAGCCTCCAACAACACAATAGTTTACCATTTTTAAGAAAAATGCACGCAATCTAAAACTAATGAACACACACACCGACTCCATAATGCAACCTATCTACTTGAAAACTACTTACTCGCCACACTGACCTTTACCAAGGGTAGCTTATAACTCCACCTGTTACACCAGAGGTTAAGATTTTTTTTTAGGGGGGGGGAAGCATTTTTAGAAGCTTTGCTGAAAAGGGGCCATTGTTTACTCTAAAAAATGAGCCGTTATGTATTGTAAAATAAAACACAATAAATGTTTCAAATTATATTTATGGACAGCATTTTATATGACATAAAAATAAATTACCCTGCACTTTGCATTTTAATATACATCTCCTTTAAACCTGCAGATGCGTCGAACAAATTTCATTGATTTCAGTCAAATCTAAAGTTGTGTTGGGGACTTTAAATGTTGTCCGGCGTTTGTTGGGCGAATAGCAAATCTCTGAACCCCACCACATGCAAAAACCCTGACAAGAACCTGCAGGGATCATCTTTACAAGTCTCATTGTTAAACTCCCCCCAGAACTGTGAGCACCCACGATCTTGGTAGCCCACTCAACTGAAACACCTCTCGAGTTCTGGACCAGTCTCTTTACCTTGCTGGACGACAGCCGCAGGATGCTGATAGCTTCTGGGTTTTCATACACCTGAATCTCTTCGATGATGAACATCTCTCCATCAAAGTTGACAGCTTTCTGAATAAATCCATCCTCTGTTATAAAAACCACAAAACAAACACACACACATATGTTAATCCACATGATTTTATTGATCTCAGTGTGAATCCGAGTCCTAAGACTTTATTATTAATAAAAACTTAAAAGGCAATGTTCTTGATGCAAGTTTTAATTTATTTCTCTGCTTTTAAGGATCCAAATGGTGAAAAGAACTGGTTTCTATTTGAAACAAAGTTTTTAAAAACTTCAAGTTTAGCTTTAACATAAGCCAAAAAGCTAACTTTGGCGTCTGTTCAGCGGCTGTCTCATCAGTTAAACGGTTTAGTTTGGATAACGTTACCAGTTCCAATAAACATGACGTTGTATCTCTCTCCGTTGAGCGCCAGCACACTATCCACCACGATTCGAGTGAGTAAAGCTCCCTTCTTGAGCAGCAGCGGCACTCCCGTCTCCGGGGAGACAGCCTCGTCCATCAAGGGCCGGTCTCTAATGAACTGCAGAGTTTTGTCTGGAAGGTCCAGCGAACGATTCATCCCCAGGTTACGCGCGGCGTTGTTGATACACTGCAAATAAACCAAGACTTGGAGTTTAGATTAAATACGTCTCAAATGTTGTTCATGCAACTTTCTAATGTGTTCCAAACCCACCGCTCCTGGTCTGGGCACCGGCACCTCACCGGTGTACATCATCCACTTAACATGGGACGTCTCCACAGCAACAGGTGTCTTGAACTTTCCCTGGTTGAAATTGTCTCGAATAGCAGAGACAGAGAAGGCACAGACTGCTGAGATCTGAGACAAACTCCTGCAACACATTTGATCGCATTTGTTAATCTGTGAGGCAGATGTTTTTGTTTGTATGGATGTTCTTACACAAATCCCATGTGCACACTCAGCTGTAACACCAGAGGATTTGGTAGTAAACACTTACGACTGAGGAGTGAAGACGGCGTAGAAGACGCTCTTCCTCCAGTCCTTGTGCTTCAGCAGGAAGACATCCTGGACAACAGGGGGCAGGCTGGGTTTAGGAAAGGGACAATCCAGATGTGCTTTCAGGAACGACGTCCATTTCTTCTGTAGCGTCCGCTGGCCACCCATATCTCCCTAAACAGACAGGACACACTTATGTAACACCTCCTGGCAGGTCAAACTAGTTCAAGTCTGTGTTTGTAACTGACCTTACAGACACGGGCGACTCGTGACACAACTACTTTGCTGTAGAAGTCGTACTCTATGGCATTCTCACTGAAGAACAGGTAGATCTTATCATCATCCCCGTCAGGACTTTCAAAGCTCTCGCCCACAAAGTCCATGTAGACAAAGTTAGGCTCTGAAAAGCACAGAAAAAATGAATAAATATAGAAAATTAAATATTTTATCATATATGGTTTGTTGTGGTTTTTTTTTCTAGTAGTAAAAGGAACTCACCACTGAGCCAAGAGCGTTTAAACTCAGTGCGAAGAGCCAAGTTGGAGCTGCGCAGGATCACCGGCTCAGAACCCAAGAAGTTGATGGATGTAGCAGCGTACAGGTCATTTCCTGTTGAGCAGGAACAATAGAGGAGTAAATATTCCTGGAAATCCTTTCTCCTCATCAAGTTGAATCAACAATAAAGCAATAATATGTGAAGTGGTGGGGAAAAAAACTTTTGCTGTGTTGATAAATGAATGTTTTGATAGAGAGCAGGTACAACTCGCTGTATAATGATTGGATTTAAGAGGAGCCTTCAAATAAGCTCCTCTCACAGTTTTGTTTGATTCAGCAGTTTTATTTTGTTTCAATGCTTGTGTTCGCTTTGGGAGCAATGCTGGTTTGGACACTCACCGACCATGAGGGAGGAGTATCTCTGAAAGGGATCAAAAGGACACTTCCCCTTTCCCTCCCCCTGCCTTCCCTTCAGCGTCAGCTGCCCATTAACAAGCATCTGTTGGAAACAAAAAGATCAGGAGAGGACAGGAAAAATATGTTTAAGTTTGTGGGTTTTTTTTTTTTTTGTCCCCACCACCATAAAATTTCACATTTAATGGACATTATCATACACTGCCCGGCCCAAAACAAAAGGTCACACACTCTGATATTCTTTTTGCTTCTGCAATGTCACAAGATCTACAGTGGGGCAAAAAAGTATTTAGTCAGCCACCGATTGTGCAAGTTCTCCCACTTAAAATGATGACAGAGGTCAGTAATTTACATCATAGGTACACTTCAACTGTGAGAGACAGAATGTGAAAAAATCCATGAATTCACATGGCAGGATTTTTAAAGAATTTATTTGTAAATCAGGTTGGAAAATAAGTATTTGGTCACTTCAAACAAGGAAAATCTCTGGCTCTCACAGACCTGCAACGTCTTCTTTAAGAAGCTTTTCTGTCCTCCACTCGTTACCTGTATTAATGGCACCTGTTTGAACACATTATCTGTATAAAAGACACCTGTCCACAGCCTCAAACAGTCAGACTCCAAACTCCACTATGGCCAAGATCAAAGAGCTTTCGAAGGACACCAGGAAAAGAATTCTAGACCAGCACCAGACTGGGAAGAGTGAATCTACAAAAGGCAAGCAGCTTGGTGTGAAAAAATCAAATGTGGGAGCAATTATCAGAAAATGGAAGACATACAAGACCACTGATAATCCCCCTCGATCTGGGGCTCCACGCAAGATCTCATCCCGTGGGGTCAAAATGATCATGATAACGGTGAGCAATAATCCCAGAACCACACGGGGGGACCTGGTGAATGACCTGCAGAGAGCTGGGACCACAGTAACAAAGGTCACCATCAGTAAAACACTACAACGGCAGGGAATCAAATCCTGCAGTGCCAGACGTGTTCCGCTGCTGAAGCCAGTGCATGTCCAGGCCCGTCTGAAGTTTGCCAGAGAGCACATGGATGATACAGCAGAGGATTGGGAGAATGTCATGTGGTCAGATGAAACCAAAGTAGAACTTTTTAGTATAAACTGAACTCGTCGTGTTTGGAGGAAGAAGAATACTGACTTGCATCCCAAGAACACCATACCTACTGTGAAGCATGGGGGTGGGAACATCATGCTTTGGGGCTGTTTTTCTGCTAAGGGGACAGGACGACTGATCCGTGTTAAGGACAGAATGAATGGGGCCATGTATCGTGAGATTCTGAGCCAAAACCTCCTTCCATCAGTGAGAGCTTTGAAGATGAAACGTGGCTGGGTCTTCCAACACGACCATGATCCCAAACACACCGCCCGGGCAACAAAGGAGTGGCTCCTTAAGAAGCATTTGAAAGTCCTGGAGGGGCCTAGCCAGTCTCCAGACCTCAACCCCATAGAAAATCTGTGGAGGGAGTTGAAAGTCTGTGTTGCTCGGCGACAGTCCCAAAACATCACTGCTCTCGAGAAGATCTGCATGGAGGAATGGGCCAAAATACCAGCTACTGTGTGTGCAAACCTGGTAAAGACCTATAGTAATTGTTTGACCTCTGTTATTGCCAACAAAGGTTATGTTACAAAGTATTGAGTTGAATTTTTGTTATTGACCAAATACTTATTTTCCACCCTGATTTACAAATAAATTCTTTAAAAATCCTGCCATGTGAATTCATGGATTTTCCTTCACATTCTGTCTCTCACAGTTGAAGTGTACCTATGATGAAAATTACTGACCTCTGTCATCATTTTAAGTGGGAGAACTTGCACAGTCGGTGGCTGACTAAATACTTTTTTGCCCCACTGTATTTCCATCCATCTCCAAGATCTCGCATTGATGATGGTAGAGTCTGATCTTCTCCAGCACATACCAAAGATTCTCAATGGGGTTAAGGTCTGGACTCTGTGGTGGCCAATCCATGTGAAAATGATGTCTCATACTCCCTGAACCACTCTTGCACTATCCGAGCCTGATGAATCCTGGCATTGTCATCTTGGAATATGGCCGTGCCATCAGGGAAGATGGAATAACCTGGTCATTCAGGATATTCAGGTTGTCAGCTGACCTCATTCTTGGAGCACATCCTGTTGCTGAACCTAGACCTGACCAACTGCAGCAAGCCCAGATCATAGCACTGCCCCCACAGGCTTGTACAATAGGCACTAGGCATGATGGGTGCATCGCTTTATCTGCCTCTCTTCTTACCCTGATGCACCATCACTCTGTAACAGGGTCCATCTGGACTCATCAGACCAGTTTTTAATGTGTGCATTTTCCATGGCAATAGGTGGCAGTACATACCTAAATCAATGCATGCAAGCATTACTTTTGTGTTCAAGTAAGACCTTATCAACGGACGGTCATTAGGGACAAACATCCCTGTGAGCACAATCTCCAGCAAAATGACAAGCATATCAGACTCCCTTAGACTCCCTTTCATCACTGGCAATGAGTGAAGAGGTAAATGTATAAAACAACAATGTTTATTAATAGTGAAAGTTTTGTAATCGTTTGTTACAAATGAGTAAATGTATTTTGTCCTCGTGGGCTTCCGTAGAAGGAAACACACAAAAACTGGTGTCACCCAGAGACTTACCCACTTCCATGTATTTTAGAACAGATTTGAATGGTTTTATGTTATGAAACCACCAATATTTTTCAACAATTGGGCATCATTTCATTCATTTTCAACAACATTTCGATAGATATTTCCAGAGATTAACGATAAAACTACACATTGTCTCAAGAATAAAGTGTGTAAATTTTAAATATAGAGATTATAAAGAGATATGTGATCATTTAAGGAGGTAAATAAAATCAATTTCAATAAATATTTAAAATAAAACAAGTTGATTGGCTCTGCAGGTTCTTTATTTCCTCATTCAGCCTCCTGAGACGCAAGTCTTTCCCTGAAATGAAGCTGATTCATGAGCTGCACCCACATTACGAAATCCCGGCTTCAATTTGTTCTCTTTTCCAAAATACACATTAAAACCTAAACAGGTGTTTTGGAATTAAATGATTAGTATATTTTACTATATAGCTTTCTTCCAAGGGAATATAGTAAATATGATGATTTTGTCTATTTTTATTCATATTAATAATTAACAATGAGTTGACGGAGCTAATCGGTGTGTAAGAGTAAAAACCTTCACAGGTTTCTTTCCTCTGCACCAAAGAGCTTCAGACAACTAAAAATAAACAGAATTAAGTCACAATAGGTGATATGTTACTTTATTTAAATAAGCACAGGCACTGAACAAGCCAGTCCCATTTGCATTATAATACTGCTGTAAATATTTACAGCTGCACTTGTTACTCACATTTAAATGACATTTGCAAAGAGCTGCATGGCTTATCTTAGTTATGTGACCACTGAACATTTAAGTATTTGTATTAACTGATTTAATCAGTCCGAATGAACACAAGGCCTTAAAAGGCAACAGCTTTTTTAAGGCAGTCAGACAGTATAAACATGGACTGAAAAAAGTTTAAAGGAGGTTTCATTTGGTTGCTTTGCAAAAAGAAAAGTAAAGCAAGCTTCCATCTAATATTTGAACCCAAAATATGCTTTCTGAACATCCTCAATTTGAAGAAATAGAGATTCCCTCTGAACAACCAGGCAAGCTAGTCACAGATTTAGAAACAACCAGCACTCTGCACGTCGTCCAACTGGATACCAGTGCCCGACAGCTGTGGAACATCCACTATGAGAATGGTAAATGGCCTGTATTTGATATAGCGCCTTCTAGAGTCCTGGAACCCCCCAAGGCGCTTTACAACACAATCAGTCATTCACCCATTCACACACACATTCACACGCTGGCGGAGATGTAGCCACAGCTGCCCTGGGGCGCACTGACAGAGGCGAGTCTGCTGTACACAGGCGCCACCGGTCCCTCCGACCACCACCAGCAGGCAAGGTGGGTTAAGTGTCTTGCCCAAGAACACAACAGCAGCGACAGACTGAGTGAAGCTCGAACCTGCAACCTTCCGATTATGGGGCGAGCTCTTAACTCCTGTGCCACCGTCGCCCCAGGAAAGAAAAGGGCCCTTTTCTGTTTAGTCACAGCTCTGCCATCTTAAAACATCTCTAACACTCTCAAAATAAATCACATCAGTTCAAGTAAAACACTTTTATTACCCTTAAAGCAGCTTGTACACAAACACGTAATGTAGCGAACTTCCCAGAATCCTAACACAACATTCTCACTGCCAATCGGACATCCATACTCACCATATAATCACAGATAGGAGAAAAGGCGTATGTGCCACACACGTAAATTGTAGTGTCGTTCACACTGTGCAGAGTTCGAATGTAGTTACGACACTCCACCTGCAACAAGATCCAGCAGAGGGAATGCCAAGGTCAGACAAACACAAACATGACTGTCCCACACACACACACACACACACACACACACACACACACACACACACACACACACACACACACACACACACACACACACACACACACACACACACACACACACACACACAGTGGGAGCACAGGCCAAGCTGCTGGTCAAAAGGTCAAGGATGAGCACGTGGCGTTTCTCCTTGTGCCTTTATTTGGAGATTCAGTGCACAGTTACAAGCAAAGCACTTCAAATGGACCTCTATGTAAAAGACTTAAAAAGGAAAAATAAAATACTCCCATATAAATGATTTACTAATGTACAGGGAGAGACTGCCAGGGGGAGGACACTGGTCCTTTAACTCTGTTTCTGTGCACTGGAGGGAAAAAAGATAGATTTTGTTTTGAAAGGGGTGACATATACCTCAGGGTCCTTTCCCTTGTTTGCACACTCCCTCTGCTTCTCCTCAGTAACTGGCCAATACACCTGCAACAACACAAGGAAAGTTTCCTGTTAAAGCGTGCAGGAAGGATGGTGTCACCACGCAGCAGCGTATCTCCTACGTTTGTCTAACATAAGGAGTCGTTCCTCCTCAGCTATCACTGTTGGATCACAACAAGTCCAGAATAACAGGTTCTCACTCAGTTACCTAGCAAAAAATGAGAACTAGTCTAGATTAAATAGGAAAAAAACTAGAATATAATGATCTGGAATTTTTCCAGTCTGTGAAATCCAACACCCTTTGGTGCTGACTTCAAGGCTTTTCTGTTTTTACAGCCATGAGAGGTTTTGTAATTTAAAAAAGGAGGAAAGAAAAAGGAAAATTCTTCTTTGACTCTGCAAAGAAAGGTTACCTTTTACATTTAGTATTCAGATTCAGTTTTATTTCCACAAGATTGCTAGTTTGGCCAATGTAAACATAAAGCAATTAATTGTTCTATATTTTATATTTGAGAATGGTTTCTCTCTTTTAACCCTCCCACTGTCCTAATGGGTGTGACCCCGCGAGGAAAGTTGACCATCGAGCAGGGTTGATGGTTTATCCCTTGAGGTCCATGCAAATGGCAGGGGTGAGGAGTGAGCACCACCTCACCCCTGCCACATGGACCTCAAGGGATAAACCATCGATCCTGCTCAATGGTCAACTTTACTCGTGGGGTCACCCATAAAGACAGTGGGAGGGTTAATAAAAGCATTATCTTGCATAGGGAACCTTTTCATAAGCCACCAAGCCCTGCAAGTCATTGAGAACGACTATCAGCGGTTTTGAAGCGTGAAACGAAAACCTGTAGTCTGCCAGCAGAGCCTGGGAGCAGCTGAGTACTTAAATATTTAACTTTAAACCAAATAAAGAAAAGTGGGGTTCAGCAATTGTGTAAGTAGAAATTTTACCAACTTCAAATGGGACATCACTCTGCAGCCCTCTGCAGACCAGAAACAGCACTTAACAGTTAGGTGGAGCGGGTAGGTGTCCTAGGGGGGCGCTCTTTACCTGCTTATTGGCTGTTAGCCATTATCTGTACTTATAGCTAAAAAGAGGCTAGCAATTAGCTTGATCAGTTCCAACCATCACTACCAAACACAAGAAGAAGGAAAAAGGTGTTTGCTTTTTTGTTGGCATCATGGTGGAGCCTGGAAGTAAAAGTCAGATAGTAATGTCTTTGGAGGCGAAGCAAGTGGCTAAACCCAGAGTAAAAATCTGCACTGCCTACACTCGTTTAACCCCCAAATTCCACTACCTCCGCTCCGCTCCGGTCCGCCCCCGCCTTCCGCAGCCGCTCGCTTCCGAACTCAATTTTTACTGGTACGCGCGGCTCCGCTCCGGTGCGGAGACCTGAGGGGGGCAAACAAGCATGCGCGGGATTTTCAAGCTCTTGCGATACAGTCCGAGCAATAAACGCGGAAGTTAGATCCAAACACCCGTTGTGTGGGAGAAGCATCGGCATGAGCTGTTTAGTCTGCCCATCATTTGTGTAGAGAGATCAGCAGTGTTTGGATCAACAAAGTGTGACTACTTTGATAGTGGAAACTGTATTTATGGCTTATTTTTGTGCATTTAAACTTCAGCCGCCATTGATAGTTGTTAAAAGTTGTTAAACCTGTGCATATGAAACAAAAAACGCCTTTTGTTTATCGATTTATTGTGAAAAACGGAAGTTGTGCTCGCTCCTTTTCCTGTTGGGCCGTTGTGATTTCTGTCCATTTACTGCGGAGGTGCTCCGGCGTCCGGCGAAAATAGGATCGATTCTATTTTTGCCGGACGCCGGAACAGAGGGCGGCGCACGGCGCCGCACTGCCGGAGCACGGCCGCAATAGTGGAATTGCTCTGATTGACTACAACGGGACCGATTTTGCTCCGGCGTTCGTGTCGGAGCGGAGCGGAGGTAGTGGAATTTGGGGGTAAGGAAGCTGAAGGAGGCCATGAAATCACGGACTGATGGTGACCTGCGCAGCTTTGTTGCTACTGGGTTGTATGCAACAATATTTTTTGCCCAACATTGTGGATCATTTTAATTTGTGGCTTATTTTGTAAGACTTGGCCCATGTGAGTGTTAGCTCGTTGTTAGCGCTAGCTACAGCAGGCTCCTGCAGGGTTGTTAATGTCAGTTGTAATTCCATTTTCAACCAGTAGGTGGAGAAGTTGGAAATTGTTATGTGTTAAGCCTGATTTATACTTCTTTGTCTTTGGTGGTTTGGAGACACGCAACGCCATTTTGCGTTGGCGCACGGGCTCACAGAGGGTGAAGCAGACAGGCCCAAAATTTCAAACATTCGTCGAAAGCAAAGTCCTGTAAATTTGTCAACAGCACCATCATTGCCCCATTAAAAAGTAAAAAGATATTTAGTGGCAGACACAGAATTGAGAACGCCTCGTGGAAAAAGTCCAAAAATATGAACGTTTATACACCCGTGACTGAAGGAGTACAAAATACAGAGCAAACGTGGAAGGAAACGAGGGGAAACGTGGGTGTAGAGGTGGAGACCGCATGAAGAGGTGGAGGACAAATTTGTCTGTTATAAAGTCTCTGAAATACATAAACACATTAGTAAATACACCATCGTGGACCGGATACATGAGTGTTATGGTGGCAGGATGTCACAGAATAGCGCTACACCCTCTGCTGTCCTGGCGGGGAATTGTTTTGCAACACTCCGCTGCCTGAACAGAAGTTAGCATGTGAAAACCTTTCCGACGTGCGTCTCTCCTTAGTGAA